TTTTTTTTTTTTTCCTCCCCGCAATTCTGTTTGTTTGTTTTTTTTCCTCATTCTTAATTGCGGTGTGTGTGTGTGTGGTGCCACACCGTGAACTCACAGAGACCTACCCCAGGATCTGTGTCCTGTGTACAGGCCCGGAGAGTGGGAACAGCTGCCATCAGAGCAGGAACTAAACCCCTTCAGTCGCTATGAAGCTCTGAATCCCAAACAACCAATAGTTCTGGATGACATTGAATCAACCCTTTCTGAAACTGGTAGGATATGAAGTTTGTGTTTGTGGTCCACTTGTGGTTGCTTTTTTGTCTGCTTTTATGGTTAACACAAGCTACTTTTCGTTAGCTAGCCCATTAATGAAAGGCAGCTTGCGAATCTTGAAATCCAAACCTGAGACCAAATATGAATTTATTTTCAACGATGCTCAGTTGACATTAAAAGGCTCAAAGTGTGGGGGGAAAAAAATACAAAATTCCCCACACCACCAGCATCATCCTAAACTGTTGACACAAGGCAGGATGGATTCACGGTATCGTATTGATTACACCAAATTCTGACCCTGCCATGCAAAAGAAATTGAGATTGGAAAAATGTTGCCTGGTCTGATCAGTCTCCAGTCTTTTGCTGAGCTTGTTTGTCTCTTTTTAGCTGACAGGAGTAGCACCAGGTGTGGTCTTCTGCTGCTGTAGCTCCTGACTTCAAAGATGCGTGGCCATTCTCCTCAAGACATTTTCATTTTCACCCAGAGAACCGCTGCTCATTGGATACTTTCTTTTTTCATTTGCCGTAAACCCAAGAGAGTGTCTATATGTCTATGTAAACTGAGCCTCTACCATGTGATTGTTTTTTTTAGATATTTTCTAATCAAGAAATTAAGGATTTTATTACCCGTACTGCTTTACTAATGTTGAAGTATAAGGAGGGGGGTTGTAGTTGGGGCATTTGACACTGATTTCTGACATATGCTAAATTTAATCAAAAAATGTTTTGATAACAGTGAGTACAGTGGGCGAACAGACAGAGAAGTCTCCATCAGATGAAGGCTTTACCGAGCTGGAGCCAACTGTCAACGGGAGCACAGACGAGGCAGAGGGGACATCCTGCAGAACACTCGACAGAGACCAACATGAACTCCTAGGACAGAGTCCAGGCCAGGGAGACCATAAGAACCAAACTCAAGGGAAGCTGGATGATGAGGAAGACGAAGGTGTTGCTCAGAACACCTCCATCGAGGATGGAGAGTCGATACTGTCCTCCTCAGAGGCTGAAAAACAGGGTGACTTGCATAATAAACCTACAAACCAGATGGTAACTGAAACCAAAGACGCAAACTGTGAAGGAACTGAAAAGCTGCTAAACGGTGTTGATGATAAAATAACAAGTGCACCAGTGGACCAAATCAGGAGGCAAAGTCTGAAGCAGGCTTCAGAGGTTGATGAGACGTCTGGCCCAGACAGACCAGCAGAGGAGGACGAACTCAGTGAGGAGGAGAGGCAGAAGAAAACCTATGAGTTGGAGATGAAATCCTGGCTACTGAAGAGAATGCAAGCTCCAATAGAAGGTACAAGATTTCAGACTTCGATGGGACTAAAATAAAGTTTCAGCATGAATTAGCTAAACTCTTTATTTTCTCCATACCTTGCAGACATGCTTTTCTCATCAGAGGAGAAGAGCAAAAACCCACCAATGTTCCTCTGCTTCAAAGTTGGGAAGCCAATGCGGAAGTCCTTTGCCACCTGCATGACCTCTAGCCCCGCCCACTCATTCGGGGGCCGGGAAAAGCAGCCAGAATATTGGTTTGCTGTGCCACAGGAAAGGTATATTTAAATGTTTTATATAATCCTAGTGCCAGTTAAATGCTGCAAAAATAACTGTGATGTAAGCTGTGTTGAAGGGGCATTGGTTTACTAATGGTATATTTGCGGCTACACTAGTCGGCAGTCTCCTGATTTCGTGTGTGTGTGTGTCTGCGGTAGGGTGGACGATCTGTATGCCTTCTTCGTTCAGTGGTCCCCAGACGTGTACGGGAAGGAGGCTCGAGAGCAGGGCTTTGTTGTGGTGGAGAAGGATGAGCTGGACATGATTGATAATTTCTTCAGCGACCCTGCATCTTGCAGCTGGGAGGTATGCTCGGGCCTCCAGCTCACCTCACCTCATCTATTTTCTTTATCAAGCTAACACTACAGTGGTGTGTTTTGCCTTTTTCAGCATTTTAAAAGCACCTTTGTCTTGCAATCATTTCTGTTCTGTTTGTGTACTTGTGCGCTAGATTATCACCCTTGATGAGGCTAAACGTAGGCAGAGTTTTGGCAGTATCGATGTAGACTTCTCTATGGATGCACTCCCCATGCTCATTGATACAAGTGATCTGCTGCAGGATACACACATTGAGAAGGTAATCTTCAAATATCCAGGAATGCGGCTGCTTTCTGAACACTTTAACATCTCACTTGGTGAAAGGAATTTAAGGAAATTCAGTTTTTCAGGGCTAATGGTGTGTACGTTTCCCCAGCTGGCCTGTCGTTTGCCTGCCCGTGTGCAGGGCTATCCATGGAGACTGGCCTACAGCACAGAGAAACATGGGACCAGTCTGAAGACTCTGTATAGGAACCTTGCAGATGTTGACAGTCCTGTGCTGCTGGTCATCAAAGACATGGATAACCAGGTAGACATAGTCATCATAGATGTGAAGTGTTTAAATAACTGTGAGCTTTAGGAACGTGACATCAGCATTAGGTGAACAGAATATGAGACATCGGGATGTGAGTAACTTCAGATGGTTTGACTCCTAAGCACAGTGTTGTTGGCTTGTGCTTTATTGCCTGTATAGATTCATATCTGTTAACCCTCAAGCTGACAGTGACAGTCACATCATCTTAGCGTTTTAAAACCAAACCAGTGGACACTGCATACTCATATGGTTTAGAGCTACTGAGTCTATAAAGTCAGCAGAAGAGTGTTTGATGAGGTCATAGTCTTCACTTCCACTTCATTTTGAAACAAGGGGCCCCCTGCTGGCCAATATAAAGAGTGCAGTTTAAGGCATTACTGCATCACTCTGTTACTTTCCAGACTTTGCCTATCTTCTTATATGGTTTAACTCTTTATGCAGGCCACCTGGAGTTATTTTATAACTTTGGGTGTAAAATTGCAAAATAATTCTCATCTTTCAGGAACCATTTGAATTTTCTCTTTTGCCCAAAATGCTTGAGGAGTTATAATAATGAGAAGCACACATGGGAAAAATCTAGGCGGAGCTGGTTTTTCTGTCTGCATTCAGACCGCAGTACCTTGTGAATGATTTGTGCTATTGCGATGCACCAAATTTCTCCATGAAGCTCGTCTGCTCTGCTTTTCGAAGCGTTTGATTTTTGTGGGTTAAGACTAATTTCAAATGTACTTATTTGATTTATGCTATGGCCTGAGAGAGTGGAATCTGTGTGATTATTAGTCGTAAGGAAACTTGATTTCAAATCTAATCTGACTCTCGTCACAGATCTTTGGGGCATTTTCAACTCATCCTTTCAGAGTGAGCGAGCACTGCTATGGTACAGGAGAGACCTTCCTCTACAGCTTCTGTCCTGAAATCAAGGTTTGCGTCCAATCAGTTCACAAGCTCACTCTGGTTAGTTCACCCTTAATCACTAAAAAGATCTCAGTAGTGACTGTGCTGCTTTGCTACTTGCTTTCAGGTGTACCGCTGGACAGGGGAGAATTCCTACTTTGTGAAAGGCAATACCGATTCACTGCAGATGGGAGGAGGAGGGTATGTACAGCTACCTTAGTTTCAATTCAAGCATCAAGTTGTCTCAATAATCTAAATATTTGGGACAGAAGAGTAGAGACAGTAGAGGGTTTGATAGTTGTCAGTAATCAGCACTGCCTTCCTCTGCAGTGGTCAGCTGGGTCTGTGGCTGGATGCCGAGCTGTACCGAGGGACCACCACCAAATGTGCCACCTTTAACAACCAGCCACTGTCCTCCCAGCAGGACTTTAACATCCACAGTCTGGAGGTCTGGACCTTCGAGTAAACCCATCTTCTCAAACTACATTCACTCTCCCTAAAACCTTTAACATCACCCATTTCTATTATGCACCACTTGGAGGCAAACCTAGCTACCCACAAATGACGCTAAATGTTATGTGAATGAAGTTCAGAAGCCCCTCGTGGAGCCATGTTGACCGCCGGCCGCGCTGTGTCTTCTGTAGCCTGTTTTTGAAGTGAGTGTATTCAGCAGGTAGGCTGGCGAGTTTGTCTGGGTCACCGTCCGTTCAGAGGTGAAGATGTAAGAAAATGTTTTTTGCTCTTGGTTCATTGGCTGCCTTAGACATCAGACAAAGCCTCCAGCTTCCCCCAGCATGCAGACTGCCTTACCACCATAAGCTTGTGAGGAGAGATTGAAGGTGAGGATAGCTGCTTTTTGTGTTTTTCTCTTTGTTTGTTTTGACCCATGTTGCTGTGAGGGCTAAAGAAGCCAATCTGCTGACGATACTATTGAGGTGATCCCTATAAGAGCTGATTTTTAAGTCTGCGTGAAAGAAAAAGGAGTCCGACAATACCACATGTCTCTTTGTTAATAAATAATTGTTAATATAATTTGTATTTTGGGGAATGTACAGATGTGTGTACTGAAAATACTTAGTGGCTTCTTTTTTTTTTGCTTTTTTTTCAAATGTTCAAATCACTCGCCATCAAATTCAGTTTGGCTGGAATTGTTTACAGTGAAAGAGTTCACTTTCTGTGAAGGACATCTTGTGAACGCTGTCTTTATCTTTTTATTTTGAGTTTGTTCATGTGAAATGAGTGAATTCCTCACAACTGCGCACAATGTTGGCATTCCCTGTGTCCAGTCCAAAAACTGCTGACGGAGCCAGGAAACACTTGCAGTGACCAAATATGTTCTGTTTAATTAAATAATTTCATATTTGTTGTGCGCTCGTCTTATTTTATAAATATATTTTTGCATTCTGTTTTTACAAAGAATGTTTGCTTTATTTTTCCTTTTTTTTTTCTCTCTCTCTCTCTCTCTGTTGACTTTTGCCAGTATTGAATTCCTGCCTCTAAATGAGTAATGTAGACTCTTATTTGTGGTCTGTGTTGTTCAGAGACTTGCAGCCTGTAGAAGTTTAACATGATGTCACTTTGCACTGCAGGATAAATTGACGGCCCGTGCTGTGTTGTACCCTGAAGCTTTTCTACAATGTAAAATTGTTACTGAATGTCACTACAGGAGGGAGTCCAGCCTCCTTAAAAAGGGATGGGAAAGGGATACTTTTTTTTTTTTTTTCCTTGCACATTGATATGCCACTAACTAAACAATCAGATCTACTAACACAGGGTGAAAATGTCCATTTGCGCCCTCTGTATCTGACACAGGCTTGTAGTGCATGAATATGCAATACTGCAAACATCTGACACCACTGACAACGATCCCTGCCGTACTAGTCACTATATCGCTGGTTAGCGCTTCATGTTGAATTGAGCTTGGTTGTCGTCGGCTGTTCAGTGTTGTAGCTGTGAAGTATTATTTCTTGTGAATCCAAAACTGCTGTGTTCTGTGATATCATGATCTATTTATTGTGTTGTCACTGCAACTACATTTAAAATTAAATAAATGTTAAATATATACAAATAAAATATTGGCAGTGTGTGGTTTATATCTTCCACCTCTTCAACAATCGGTGATTATTAAAGAAGATGAAACACTTGGAGCTTTTCAAGCTTGTGTCATGTTTTAGACTCATTCTCATCCTAATCACACACTATGTATTAAAACACAATATTAACCATAATTGTTTTAGTCGTACCTTTTTGGATTGCAGTTTAAGAATTCTCAATTATTTTGGTAGGTCAGAAGCAGCTTTTTTGGAAGTCAGTCATAATTTACATTGTGTTAAACATTCTTTAAGAATTGTGAATATTAAAATAAAATTATGTTGAAATGTAGTCCCGATCAAAAGTTTAAGACCACCTGAAAATTGCAAAAAAAAATCCTATTTTGCATGGTTGGATGGATAATAACACTGCTTCACTGCAGCAACATCAGGTAATCTCCATATACGGATTCCTGGCTTTAAGTTTTTGATCTACTGCAGAATATTTTTAAGGGTGTTATCTACTATAAAAAACCATGCCAGCAAAATCTCCAAGTTTTTCTGTTTTATCCTGTTACTTTGACACAAAGGCATCTGCTGTGATGCTTACACATCTGATAAAGTGGCAGCTTAATTTTTTTTATACACAGCCTACAAACTCAGTGCAAACTAACTGCAGAGAAATAGTCAAATAATTTTGAATTAAATATTCTTAATTTACAAGGCTTAGAGGGTTCTTTCGACAGGACATATCCAAGATAAATGGACAAAATTATAATATTTCTGACTGACTCAAAATGGAACAAAATCGAATCGGGACCTTGTGAATCAGCTGTAGAAATCAGTGACGATAGTAGTGCCTGCCCGACTACCTTCATTTCCACAATGTTTATTAGGAAGGCAGAGTTCTCAGAAAAGCATTGAGTAACCTCTCTGCACGTCATACAAGATCTTCGGAAAGTGTTCAGGAAACGCAACAGAGAGACCGTCCTCAGGCAACATGGAGGACACAGCGACTAACTGGTCAAACTCAGATGTAAATGATGTTGAAACGTGTATTTTCTGTTTAATAGCGAACAAAAAAGACGAAAACACAAAGATAATAAAAGAGGTGAGATGCTTTTTTTTTTTAAAATCCCATATAGAGCGATACAGGTGTTATAGGAGGAAACTGTACCCGGAAGTTTCGGATCCGAGGTTTTGATATACTATTAAAAACACACACACATAGTTAGTTGGAGATTTTAGCACTTGACGGCAGATGAAGTTTAAAGCGTATGGCAAATCAGCTATTTAATAGAAGAAACAGACTACAGCAGGGAAACCGCGGGGGCGGCATTTCACGACGAGAGCTGTTTTGCAACTCTGAGCCAAAACAAATAAAACTGTATGAAACAGGGCATTTAGAGCAGTCTGGGCTCTTTTGGCTGTTTGTAATGTGAGCACCCACCAGCCCAGACAGGTAAAAACCTGTCATGTGACAGAAAATAAAGAAAAGCACAACAGGTCCACTCTAAAGTGTGTAAATCTAAAAATGCACTTTGTTTAAATCCAGATGCTTTAACACCTGCAAATCACCAAAACGTTAAAGGGTCCCTGCGCAGGCACAGGTCCATGCATGACTTCTTATTTGGTTGAGGACTGGTTACATCTTAAGTAATGATAATACATTTATTATTTATATGCACCTTTCAAGACACTCGCGGACCCCTTACAATGCCGAGGCAAAGAGAGTAGCCAAGCATCAAAAGATTTTAAGGCTGGTTTTAAGTGGTGGATTTCTCTTCATCTATGTGCAGCTAAATTAATAGTTCAAAGTCTCCGCACACCTGAATGAGTGACAGGTGGAAAAGTTCCATGACAATTTAAATGTAATTCCCACACGCTGCCTCGCTTACTGCAAATACATTTAAGCCGCAGTGTTTCAGTCAGTCTGACATTCGTCAGGTATGTATCTACTCAGAAAAAGTGAGTAAAATAATAACAATAATAATAATGCTGTACATTTTAAAAATGAGTCCCACTGCCACCTTTTCATGTACTGTGCAGAGTGGGAGTTTTCTGTGTCTTGGTTGGTCATCCAACCAAGACACGGGGTGTCCTGGTTCTTTTATGTGCACAGCTGGAGTAGCACTACCTACTTTCTGATCCACCAGGGAAATATACTGTACTGAGTCTTGATAGTGCTGCATTCACAGCTTGAATGACTCTTTCATTTTTCTGCCCCGACTACAGACTAAAGACCTGGTGTGTTTCAGCGACATTTTCCCATGTGCGCCTCACCACTACCTGGTTGTTCCCAGAGAGCACATACTCAGCTGCTTCTCACTGCACAAAGGACACATTGATCTAGGTCAGTTAGTCCTCTGTCAACTTACCATACTATCTCCTAACACTGTGGCTATCCTGTCGTCACTACTGCTGCAAGTTTTCCTTTAAATACTTTAAACTAGACTATTACTGCTGGTACTATAGACTTCTGATACTCTTATTTTTCCAACTATTTGAGATTATCAAAACTATATCACATAACCCATAAGAAATCATGTCTCCAATAGTTGAAAGGATGGCTAAACTGGGGAAAGATGTGCTCCACGCCCAAGGGATTACTGACATGGCGGATATAAGGTTGGTGGAGACGGTTCTTGGAAGTACCGGAAAAAATATTCATACTAGTAAAAAGGCAAAGTCTGCAAACTCAAGTTCTCTCGTGGGCATTCAGGAATCATTTACAGTGGACACCCATTTTTCATCCATCCATCTGTGCATTCATCCATGCATACATCCACCCACTCACAGGGCTAAAGCACAGAGACGGACGATCATTCACGTTCACGCTCATATGTGGTTAGTCAGCGATCCAAAATTGGCTGTAGTTTTGAATACGAGTGTGAAGTAAAATCCTGCAGTTTCTGCTGGGTGCATTGTAGCTGCCTGAAGCCAAAACCCAGTAAAAATCTTACTTTTAACATTAAATTTAAAAAGCTACAGTGTATCTTAAAAAATGATATTAAAGGGAGGGTGGATGAATCTTTTGCTTTAAGTAACTGCATAAGTAATCTTCGTGCTAATGTAATCTATATAATTATAGTTTAACATGGAGTGAGGGGTCTAGTTGCTCTGTTGTTTGTGAGCGTTTCATCCCTGCTCTGGGCGGCTGAATTTCAGTGCTGATGTGTTTTTCTCCACAGGCTGGGGTTCCACCAGCCGCCCTTCATTTCAGTAGGTCACCTCCACCTCCACGTGCTCGCCCCAGCCAGCCAGATCTCAAAGTACATGTTGTATAAGTTCACTCCAGAAACCAACTATTTTGTTACTGTGAGTACTGCAGGCGACTTCTTTCCTCATTCTGTTTTTTTTTTCTTTGATTTTCTTTATTAGTTTTCTTACACTACAATAACTAAACCACTGCAGCGGTTTCCATGCAGTCACTGTTTTTATCAGGCTACTTCTGTTACTTCACATTTGAACTGATAAACTCATAATTTCCTCTTTGCAGGAAGAAGTTTTACGCAAGCGTCTTAAAAGTATCTCCCCACCACTCCGGTGTCATTATTTAGAGAACTGCAAGTTATTTCAGTGCATCAATTGTGCTCAGACTGGACTTTAGAGCAGAGCAGGGAAACAAAACCAAAAAATCTCAGAAGAATCGCTGAGGCAGAATGAAGACTGGAGACTGTTTAGAGCGATATTTACCACTTTAATATTCATTAGCAGTGACTGACCTCTGCACGGGCCAGTGCAATATAGAAAATTAACGGTCAGATTTTATCTATAGTGTTTTGTGCTCGTGCACTGTAACAGTGTCGTTTTTGAATGAATGCACGTGGGAAATGAATTGTACTTTTATCATAAGAAGAGACAAGACTGATTCCACTAAGTATTTTTTAAAATAAAATTATTTATTTAAATAACATTATTGAGAGTTTTCTATTACTGACAGTCACTGTAAAGAAGAAAAATGTGTGGAGATACTGTTGCCTCTGTATTGGATGTGTGTCTGCTTGTTTGTAATGATATTAAAAAATAAACAGTTTTTTAAATAAAATAAAAAATCATTCATGGAGAACCCTTTAATAAACTAATAATTAAGGTAATTAAGTTTTAAGGCCAGTGTTGTGACTTTCTAATGTTAGTTATTTTAGTAAAGTCTCATAATCCTGGTAATCCTCACTGGCAGATATGTGTGTATAGATAAATATAGATTCATCAAGTTGCTGGAAACATCACAGATCTTGGTTAATATTGACACGATAGCGTCACACAGTTGATGCAGATGTGTAGGCTGTACACCCATCTTGCGAACGTCCCCCCATCCCAAAACCTCCCAGTGAATGAACGGGACACGACTCAAATGCAGATATTACACAAAAATAAAACCTACAAACTGTATCAGTGAGCCAGAGTTGGAGGGCATAGACCAATGATCATACACCTCTGAGAGTGAAATATGACTTTAATCCAACATATTTTAACTTAGAGTAGTAATTGAAACTACTGTTTCAATTATGGAGCTATACAAAATGAGTCCTCTGGGCCTTTCTCTCCACTTCACAACAGTATTTTTCACCAAGCCCTATAACCCTGCACACAGACATGCACATTAGGTTCATTCATTATATCCAGTAAACCTGATATATGACAATCATGCCTGAATATTACTACAGTAACCTGCTCATGCTTACCTGAGCTCCTTTAGTTTCTTTTCCTTTATCTCATTCAGGCGCATCTGTCGCTGCTGGGCTTCCTCCAGCAGTTTGTCAGCCTCCCCGAACCCCTCTCTATGCTCAGCTTTGGCAAGCTTCTTGCGCTCATTCACCTGCTGCCTGACGGCCTCAGCGTGGCGCAGCACTTTCTGACGTTGCCTCTCCTGCTGCTCCTTTTCTTTGGCCTCTGCTTCCTTCTGAGCCCTGTGTGGAGGAAAAATAGCAATTTCATGCAAAAACGTGCAGAAAATGCACACTGAGGTGGGAAAAACAAACAAAAGCCCCCCAACTTTCTTACTTCAGCATCCTATCAAACTCTTCCTTCTTTATGGTGGCCTGCACTGTCTGGTAGTGCTGTTTGCTGTGAACTTGCTCCAGCCGAGCAGCCCCCAGCATCGCCTCCTGCTGTGCTTTCCTCACGGCCTGCTCTCTGTTTTTCTCCCTCCATTTCTTTTGTAACTCTTCTTGATGCCGATGGGCACAGAGTTCATCCTTTTTAAAATCCGCAGAAACACCAGCACAAGTGGCCGAGAACAGTTAAAAGTCATATTAATCCACCTGTAATAAAGTTAACGCTTCAAAAACAATTTCTGACCTGCTCTGCCTTATAGTTTCGATCTTTTTCTTGCTGGGCCCTCAGCTTAGCAATCTCCATCTCCTTCTCTTTCCTTATCTGCTTTTGCTCTGCTTCACGTTCCGCGTCCCTCGCCTGCAAAAACAATAAAATATCAGCAGAGAACAAACATCTGTAGCCGATCTACAGAGTTCAGTTGCTTTTCCAGCTGACCTGTTTCTTTTTAATGTATTCCATGGCTTTAATGTCCGCCAGCTTCTCCTCCTTCATCCTCTGCTCCTTGACTCGGAGGGTCTCAGCATTGATGCGCATGATCTCCTCCTGCATACGCTGCTGCTCCATCCTATTCTTCTCTTTAGCCTGGAACAAAGCAGCCGGTCAGAGATGAAACTGACTCCCGTACACTGCACTGTGTTCACGTTAGTGAGTTTAAGTCTGCACATGGGCCGTGTGTGCACCTTGAGGTCATCCTTTTCCATCTTCTTCTGGTTCTCCTTTATTTGCTGTTTCTCTTGCTCTCTCATCTTTCTCTCATTTTCCTTTTTCTCTAGATGTTTCTGAATTTGTTCTAAAAGTTGCGCTCTTCCTCTGAAATGTAACACACACAAACAGAGTGACAGATCTCCTAATGGCCTCCTTTTTGGATCAGATAAAGTGCATAATTTAACGTCTTCCCATCCTGGGAGTTATTTTAAGAATATATAAAGCATTTGGTGAAGAAAAAAAAGGTGCTCTCTTTACTCGTTCCTGTGCTGTTTCCTCAGCTCGTCGATCTTCCTTTCAGTCTCCAGACCCTTTTGGCGCTCTGCCTCCATCACCGCATCCAGGCGCCTCTCCTCCTCTTCCATCTCTGCCTGGATCTGCTTCTTCTCCTCCAGCTGAGCATTGATTGTGGCTTGACATTGAGCATTCAGAATAAGCTGAGGGAGTGACAAAAACAGAAGCATTTATATGTGTGTGAATTGACACCGCCTTTGTTTTCTTCATCCACATACTCCCAGCCAATTCCTACCGTGTTCAGCCTTTTGATTTCCTCTTCTTGCTCCATCCTTAAAGCGTTAGACTGCTCCAGCAAGCTCTGTGAACGTTTCCGGGCCTCTTGCTCGAGCTCAGTCAGGGCCTTGTTGTTCTTACGGGACAGATCTGCTGCCTGGATCTGCTGCTTCCTTTCCTCTGCGGATTTCTGGGGAGCCATCATATAGATATCATATTGCAAAATCACAGGAACGAGCCTCTTGTGTTAATGTCCAAGAAAACATCATCAGAGCCATGAATCCTACCGTTTCCTCTTCCTCCTTTCTCTGATAAGCCTGGTGAAAAGCCTCTCTCTCCTCCTTGAGGTTAGCCTGGGATGCTAAAATGATGCGTTTATACTTAGCTGACGGGAGAAAGACTGACTTTCCTGAAGGACTGTTAAGTGGGATTCTGGCATAACGACAGGAGGAATTATGTTGTGGTGAGGATGTCCATTTTGGGTTAAAACATCATTATCATCATGACATTTGTTTTTAAAAAAATCTAATTGTCTCTCTAAATCACTTGAAACGATACCAGGTCATACATTAATGGAAAACTGTTAGGTGCACCATTGTTTTTTTTTAATTCATATTAAATGTAATCAAATTGCTTCCATTTCCATGTTTTAAAAATGTGCATTATGCTTTTTAAACCAGCGGAGAAACTCAACAGGTTTGGGACTACCTGAGATTGCGGATGAGGTCTTTAGAGATGATTTGAATGGTGTCTTTGTCTTTTTTGATCTTTGACAGAGCTTCCTCACAAGGATCGTCTTCACAAAGCTGTGTAGATATCTGAGCAGTTGTTAGTTGATAAAAACCCGCAAAATAGCACCATAATTAGTGAACTCAACACACAAGTATTTTCAGTTTTCTTTTTGGATTTTCTTTTTTCTTACTTGTGATATCCACTCACTGGCCACTTCATTAGGTTCATTTGCTCATTAATCCAAATATCTTATCAGCCAATCACTTGGCAGCAACTCAGACACTTGGTACACTGTCTCCTTAATACTGTCTGGACATCAATTAAATGCCACAGCCCACCTGAGTAGTTCTGCTGACCATCTCCAACCCCTTATTGACAACAGTGTAACCATCTTCTAATCGCTGCTTCCAACAGGATAACACACCATGTCACAAAACTCACATCATCTCAGGCTGGTTTCTTGAATATGACAGTGAGTTCACTCTACTCCAATGCCTCCACAGTCACGAAATCTCACCTTTGAGATTCTTATGGTGGATGTACAGTCAATAGATCAGCAGTAACTATGTAATGCTGGTTAATCAGTACAAACTATTTTAATAATAGTTTATAGTAAATTCAGGTTAATGAGTAAATTGTTTTGTTGAGTCACCAGTATGACCTCAGTGAGCTTAGCTTTGTAGTTTGTGTCTGTAAAGACAGATTTAAAAGCGCCACCATGACCATGAAATGATTCATTGTGTCTTCAGAAATCAGCTGCACACCCATGATACAAATTTCCTGTTCTGCTACGCGCCAAATGAGCTCTACTGGACTGACATCTGGTGACTGTTCACAAACCATTTTTTTTAGGCTTGTGCTTTCAGAGATGCTCTTCTGCATACCTCGGTTACAAAGCGTGTTGATTTGAGTTCCTTCCTATCAGCTCGAAGCAGTCTGGCCATTCTCCTCTGACCTCTGTCATCAACAAGCCATTTTCACCCAGAGAACTGCTACTCGCTGGATATTTTCACATTTTCAGACCATTCTCTGTAAACTCTAATGATGGTTTTATGGGGAAAAAAAATCCCAGTAGCTCAGTTTTTGAAATGGCTACAACAGCCCGTTTGATAGCAGCAACCATGCCACATTCAATGTCACGTCAGTCACCTTTCGGCCTCATTCTAACGTTCTGTTTGAACCATGTCTATATACACTGAGCTGCTGCTATGTGATTGGCTGATTCGATATTTGTGTTAATGTTCAGGTGTGCTTAATAAAGTGGCTAGGGAGTATATGTACATATGTGTAAAACTGTCTTGCATAATCTTGACTTTCTGATCGCACATCGCCGATAAGTTTTATTTGTTGACAGTGGAGCGGATGGAACAAATGGGAAGAAGTATACTGGAGAAGAACAAAGTCTGCAGCCTCGATGACGTCAGGTAAAACAATCCCTGTGATGAGCTGCGACTCTTTATCACTTAGAATTTTATTATGCTTTCAAATTAAACAGGTTTTTTTTTCATGTTGTAATATCTTTTTGTTAATTTTATTTTGTAGGCTGGGGTTTCATCTCCCTCCATTCTCGTCAGTTCCCCACCTCCACCTCCACGCTCTAGCTCCAGCCAGTAAGATGAACTTGAAGTCTCAGCTTCGCTACGGGCAGCAGTCTTACTGGTTTATTACAGTAAGTCAGGGCTGCATTGAGCCAAGGAAAATAATTCAATTGGGACTGTTTATTTTTAATATCACTAGACAGACATATGGCATGGTAACATTTGTTTCTCATTTGTTATCACGGTCTATGCTTTAAAGGAATTCAATAAAAATCAGATTAGAGATTTTTGGAGATTATCACTGACGCCATTCTCTGATGTCAAAATGAGAAACAAGCCACATCTTCTCTCCCATGTTAGGTCTTTTATGTGTGTTGTGTACACCTTTAAGTGCTACCTTCTTTTAAAGTGAAGAGCTTTTAAAATGAGTGAATTTACTACATGTGAATACTCTTAACTTCCAGTTTTGCTCTGTTGCAGGTAGACAAAGTGCTTTCACAGCTGAAGACTCATGGCAAAGTGAAATGAGCAGATGCAGGTGTAGCAACCTTGTTTGCTGCTCACAGGTTATTTAATTAGCATCCATGCACTGAGTGCACTTTACATGACTTCTCCAGCCTGTTTGGCATTCTGGTGCTAATACGTTTGAATATTTTCCTCCATGCCACATGCTGACTTGGTTGTGGAGAAGAGTTCTTTGTATAAATTTTTTTTTTACTTCTGTTTTCTTTTTCTTTTTTTCTTTTTTATAAATGGTATAGAATTCATGAATATTAATAAAAAAAATCTTGAAAGGCTTCAAATAATGGAGATGATTTCTGTTTTAAAGGTTGCTCTTCCAAATCTCTCCTAGTACAAACATAGGTACAACACATGCAGCCCTTCAGTATCCTATACTGTTACTGCTCAACTTTCCATTAGTGCTTTCACGATCATGTTAATTAGCAGAATATGAAGGGTTTGTTGGTTAGTTCCTCTTCAAATCTGTAAACTTGACCACTCAGTAACACATCTGTGTCTTTCACTGAAAAGAATTCAGTGAACTAACTCTTTAGTCACAGTAGAAAGCCAGTTATTGATTGGCATGCTGGGATCTTTTTTGGAAGAGCCCAGCATGCCAATATAAATGCTTTCATGAGTGTTGGATTTTAGCAATGCTAACTGCATGACTCCAGCAATGTGGTTGGACAAGCCAGAAACACTGTACCTAGGAGGCATCTAGGAGACGTTCTAGCAGGTTGCCTGATTCACCTCAAGTGACTCCTTTTGATGTGGAGAGGACATTATCCCCAGAGAGTAATCCTCATGACTGTTCATCTGTTTCATTTGTGGTGCACATCACAAACTTTTTGTCACAGATCAAAATCCAGGGTTAAATAAACCTGTATCAGGCTGTATGCCAAGTCCAAAAAACAGGAAGCACAGGGAAAGATGTGTAGATTTTATGACAAAGACTCAGGGAAAGGACAGGACTATTTATGCACATAGGATTAATAAAGGAACTGGAAACAGCTGGGGGAAAAATACACAGGTGCAAACTAGGCAGGAAGTAAAACTCAAAGCAGGAACAGACGACAACTTTCATATTAAAACAGGAAAATAGCAAATAGCTTAACTAAATACGGAAACAAACAACAAAATTCAGTGAACGGAGAAGCAGAAAGGAACGATAAGCATCTAACAACACAAAAAGCATTACAAGAATTATCTAAGCAACACAAGAATCCAAACTGGAAAATGAATGCAAACAGTTTCAGTTTAGCTACTATTTTGTTTATCAATACATTATATCTCTAACTCAAAAATATCATTCATTAATAGAATAAGTCAGAACGCACAGCGGGTCAGACTTTTTCTAACCGGATCAGTTCTTTCTCTGAGCCACTTGATGTCAGTAATGCAATAGGAACTCTCACAATGGCAGATTATATGGAAGGTCCACGTGCATCAACAGGCCTCATATGGTGACTCGCAGCCTGTTTTTTTACTTATTTAAAATGATAAAGTAGGAACCATCAAAAAGTGTTAGCATGACATCATTTGCCAAGGGCTCCATTCCTGTAAACTGGTGAGTCACTTCAGTCCATGCATTTTCAAAACTGTTCACACAGGACACTGACATGACTCCAAGGCAAATATTCAGCAGTAAGAGTCAAAACTATCTCCTGGTGAGGAGGAACAGGAGCACTTGCAGAATTCAGAGCTCTGCAACACTCCCTTGTATGTCTTTCGCATCTCCAAACTTTTATCTGCTATGAGTCATTTTTACTGTGTATTATTGTGTATCGTCGTCATTGTTTCTCACATACATTTCTCGTGTGTTTCTTGGTTTATATTATGATAGTGTTGGCACATCTGTCTGAATACATGTAGGGACCGTAACTTTCCATCTAAGGACTGATGTAAGAGAAGACATGATGTAAGGAGTATTGGGTTCCTGAGCTCAACTACCTTATTGTGCTGGCTATTGAATATGTTATATGATTCAACAGTGATGTAGTTTGAGAAAGATATTATGTAACACATGCTTCATAGAATTTGTTCCTCTTTGAACATATTGATACTGTGATACACAGAGATATGCATTTACGTATGCATTTACAGCTAGGGGCATGATTTATGATGTCATGAAGACCTTGAATAGATTTCCTTGGTGTTTAGTTTCCTACATTTCTCACCAGCGACATATAAAGACAATACAAAACAATTTCATAAATAATATTTTAATGGCAATATGGAAACAGTTAGAGCCATAAGTTTTTGGACAATTAAACTTTTTTGTGTGTGTGTGATTTTTGCCACCGCTGCAGTTAATTTTATATCACTCAGGATGTGAGTAAAGTACAGACTCTGAGCTTTAATTAAAGGGGTTTTACAAAAACATTGTGTTAATTGTTTCGGAATTATAGACATTTTTATACATAGTCCCTCATTTTCAGAGGTTCAAAAGTAACCGGATACATTAACTTTATTTGAAATTGAACATTTTGTTAATCCTTTGCAGTTAGAGACTGCCTGAAGTCTGCCTGCATATCCACTGTGGTCATATACAGAGGCAAAATTACAAAAAAATGTATCAGTTTAAATATACTTATGGATCTAACTGTATTCAAATTACCATTAAAATGTTATATATGGAAATGTGTATATGTTTTATGTGTCTCTACTGAGAAATACAGGAAAGTAAAAAGAAGAAACTCTATTTAAGGTCTTCAGGCCATCTTAAATTTACTATAACAATAAAGAAAGCGCCCAAAACTACAACATCTGTCATCAGCAGCTCATGTCAGACTCAGGAAGGGACTCTCATGCATCATTCATACCAATGACATCATTTCTCAGACCAAATGCTTTTGTTTTTATGTGACTTACCAAAAAAAAAAAAACTACAACAACACAACTTCCTGGTGTGTTAAAATCCTTTAAATATACTGGGATAGTGCTGTGAAAAAAAAATCGATCCCTTCCTGGTTTCTTTCTTTGCTTTTCTTTGCTTTTCTTCTCTTTTTTTTCTTTTCTTTGCTTTTTTTCTGCATATTTTTTCCATGTTTTGATGCGTGCTCAATCATCCAGGTAAGAAAATCCCTCAAAAATTATTCTATTCATCTGGACATTGCGTTTTCAGTGGAAAAAACATTTTGTCGCTCATCCGAGTGACTTCTTCCGTATTTGTGGGATTTCAGTCATTATGCAAATGTACAGTTTATAAGGTTGGGTAAACCTGCAGTCACCTGAGACTGAAGAAGTCATAAGGCCAGACATTCTCCTTCAGAATTTTCTGCTAGAGAGCACAATTCATGGTTCCATCAATTACTACAAGTTGTCCAGATCCTGAAGCAGCAAAAACCTTCACACTACCACCACCACGTTTGTCTTTTGGTATGATGTTCTTTTTATGCTTTCAATCTGGTTCCCAAACATGTATAAATTGTTTTGTACCCAGTCCCAGGCTGATGATGATGTCAATTAAGACTTCGATTTTCATTCTTTATTTTCTTTAGATTGTGGCATGATGTGTTTTTGATATCTTTTAGCCTACTTCACTTTGTCAGGTTCACTTAAACATGTTTAGTGATTTGGCGGTAATTGGGTTAGTGAAACTGAACTCAGTGTTCCAGAGCAAATGGTTAATCACAGTTAATTCCAAAGTTAGGTTAACAAGAGGGAACTACTTTTTCACATAGAGCCATATAAGTTTAGATAGATTTTTTCCCTTAATAAATTTATAATTTAATAAATCATTTAAAAACTTAATTTTGTATTTACTCGGGTTATGTTTGTCTAATTTAAATTAAAAAACATATGTAATGATCTGAAACACATAAGTGTGGAAAATATGCAGAAATATGCAGAAAAGTACGAATTCGGAAAGGACGCAAATACTTTTTCATAGCACTGTATGCTTGCAGTTGACATGGCTGGTGGTGACGTCAGATTCCTGACTTTCTACGTTGCCCCTCCTACCGTCAACAACTGGATTCCAGCTATGTGTATTTTCGTGAACTAGCACTGCTAACCTGCTTGTGATGATTCGCTGCCTACGTAGAAAAAACGAACTAAACCTTTATTTTTGTTCCTTTGGAAAAAAAACCCCACCCTCTCTGTCGACAGCTCGTGCCGATGTTCGGCCAATGCAAGCTAAAGGGCCGACGAGAGCGGAGACATCGACGTGCATACCGTCCTCTAGCCATCTCTGATTCCAGCTAACACAGCTACCACCTTACCGGGGGAGATAACGCTAGCTGGCTGGCTGACAGCTGGTTGGGTTAGCTGCGTGCCTTTCACTGTAGCAGAGCTGAGATTTTTTTCGCAGAAACAATGACTCGTCTCTGACATTGGTGAGTATATTTGCAGACACTGCGTAGTAATATCATGTAATTGCCTTTTCGTTTGCCTCGGCGTTGCTTTGCGAGCTAGCTTGTTTGTAGCAGCAGCCGCTGCACAGAGCCACGCCTGGGCAATTTAAGTTGATACCTGCGGCTGGTGACATTACATATTATTTTTGTAGTATGAGTCAGATGTCTTAAAGTGTTTGGGTTTGTAGTACTTCAAGTAATTAGCTGTTTTTGGTCTACAGCGAGGACTGAGGCCCATTTGGTTGTAACATTGGAGTTAATCGGAGCCCATAACTAGCAAGGTGGATCTTTGCTGACTCTCCGTTGGTGCCATAGAAGATAAGCGAGGAAGTCAAAAGTCAGCTTGCCGATGCCCGCTGATTGTGATCCCGCAGAGTTGCCAATATGATGCCGGTAAGTGCACATGTAGCGTATCATTTAGCATTTAGGGGACTTCATGAACATGTAAGAGTGGGTCTTTTCCTAAATATGTTATTATAAAAACAGAAATATGGTTCACTAACCGCCCATACACACACGTTTCAAGTTCTAACCGACTGATATGAGTTTGTTTGCTTTTCCCACTGCTGCTTAGATAATCTCAAGGCAGATCAGCTCCTAGTCATAAAAGTCTTTTCTTTTTTTTAAATGATCTACTATGGCTTTTATGATTTCACAGCAATTTTTTCGTGAGAATGAAAGAGTGACGCAAACCTTATAAAGGATCCTAAATTATAAACACAATGTGATCAGTTTTTGAATTCTATCAGAATGTGACACATCTTATCAAGTGTTAGCAGGTAGATTTATAACGCTGTGTGTCTCAACAGGGCAGGTCAGATTAGTATGATTGACTATCTCTGTGATAATCGTACTGTAATTCATTCGTGTTACAAAAAATGCTCTTACACAATGGATGATGTATTTAAAGCTGTGGGTATAGTAGGTGTGCTAAGCCAACAAATATTTTCATTCTATTGTTTTTTTTTTTTTGTGTGTGTGTGTGTGTGTGTGTGTTTGTTTGTTTTTTACCTTGGTGTTATTGTTCAAGAAGCTCTGTGTTGCAAGGAAAAGAATACCTGACTGGCAACCCTATTGGAGTAGTGCATTGTTGGGACCTCTTTTGTTGTCTTTAGTGCTGAGAAGGCAGCGACTGTGGGAATCGAGAGCGGAACATGAACTCGTGCAAGGGATAAATTTACAGTCAGTTCAGTGAGATCTTGTCATTTAAAAAAAGGGGGGGGGGGGGGGGTGATTCACTCTTGGTATTATGTCTTTCCAAACGACTATTGGTTTGAAGTTGGCTGTAAATTTGTATAGTTCTTGATCACCATTCCAGAGACGCTTGTACATTTCCAGAAGTACCAAGTATAACAGAAGCAAGTCCATATTTGCGGCAGTTCTCAGGTTCAGTTACTACCATTGCCTCGGTGGACAGCTGTACCCTGTGGCACCAACAGGCTATCAGAGTCAGAGAGCCAGTCGAGCAGAGAGGCAGCGAGCCGCTTGGTTCTCGCGTGAATCCAGCAGCCAATGAGACGTTGGCAGATCTAGGTCTGTGTGGCTGCGTCGACTAATGCTCTGTTGTTAAGGGGAACTTTTGAGCCGAGTAGATTGTCAAGTGGCATTAATCTCAGGCGGTGGAACCAGGCAGAGCCTGACTTACAGGAAAAAGTAAACAATGCATATTATTGCTGCATTCACATTTTTGTAGATATACTTGTTTGAAATAATAAAACAATTATCATTAAAAAGTAAAAATATCAAGTTTAATTGGGTATGACTATATCAAAATTGATTTATTTAACAAGTTCCCTCCGTTTGGGACTGATAGATCTATTTTATTCATTTAAAAAAATACACTTTAAAAACGACTCTAAGTAAAAGGAAAATAATAATAATAATATTAGTGTGCATTATCACAGTTTCAAATAAAATTTAACAGTGAAGGCTTTTGCACTTCGTAAGTATTAGACATGTAAGAGCCATCTACATAAGTCTGTAAAAGCAAAGCCAGATAAAATTTGTTAAACCAACATGAAACACTGGGTGAGTGCTGAAGTCCGACTAAAGGAACGTTTAAAAAAAAAAAAAAATCTTGATAATTTTGTAGTTTGCAGGAATCGCGGTTACTCAGATGTTTCAGTTTGTTTCACATCATTTGTCTCGTCTTTCCTCCGTACGGTTGACGAGTGGTTTTTGGCAAGTTTGGGCAGCATGAGATGGACTATTAGTCCCGAATGTCAGAGACAACTTTGACAGCCTCCTTGGGTTTAGCTGTGATTAAGCTGTGTGTTTGTGTCTGACCAGATTACCATACAGACTCATGACCAATACTTATCATAGTGTGTTGTTTACCACACATTTGGGCTTCTGCTGGGTTACAGTTACTTGTGTTTTTGGTTACAGCTGGAGTATGTAAGTAGTATTGTATTCCAGTGTCTTACATTTATGACATTTAAGGATTGTTTGAATGGTTCAAGTTTATAGACAAAAAACAGTAATGTGCTTAAACTTTTTTCCTTCCACTCAGGGCCCATCTTTAAGAATAAGTAAGTAACTGGATTTATGTGAGGAAATGTTTGATGTGTGCTGGAGATCAGGGCACTAAATGATGCCTTTTCCCTCTCAGAAGTTAAATGATCTCCAGATGGTGCCCACTGTAGCATAATGCATTGACTCCTTTGAGTCATGCACAGCCCAGTATAAGCATAATCTCTTTCTTGGCTCTGCATGATGGTGTTGACCTGCCTGCCAGTCACAGCTGTGGCCAAACTATTCTCATTAGCAGGGAGTTGTTGGTGCTGCAGCCACAGGCACATCCCAGGGACACTTTTCCAGTAAAATTACTACCCATCACTTTCCTCTATCCATACCCACCACCCTGTGACACTCTCTTGTTCCCTTGCTCTCTCCTTCTTTCGCTTGCTGTTTGTTTCACACAAGCTCTCTCTCTCTTCCCCCCTCCCTGCTCGAACTGCACATGCAGCTTGTGTTTTTTTCCTCTCAAGTCTCCTCTGCAGCACTTTTCTAATGCACGCGTCACTGTCGGGTTTAGAGGTCTGCTCGGGATGGCATAACATCTAAGTCTCGTGCCCGCAAAAGCGGCAGTGCCACAATGAAGAGATTTGTGACTATAGTGTTACGTGGCCTCGTTAGCCTTTCCAAGGAGAACCCCATCTGGGCAAAGGAACATCACCGGCCACCAAAGAGGGAGATCAAGAGGAAACGGAGGGCGGCCAAGAGAGCCAAGAGTATGGGCAGACGCAACTTAGTGAGGGTGGTTCGTATCCCCAGTGATCACTCAGCTGGATCAGAGTTTCTGTTTTGTTTTGGATATATCTAGTAGTTTCTAGATTTCTGTGTAGTTTAGTCTGCAGGTGCTGTGATTAGTTTAAATTTTCACCTCATATTGTCTGATTGATTAATTATGTGTTTTTAATCTTTAAAGGCTTGTTTTGGTATGCTGCCAAGGATATTCAGAATGCAGGCTTGTGGTGTTGTCATTTTAAAAAAAGAAGAACTGCAGATTTTGATGGATTTTATAGTATTTTTCTCCTTTTAGTTTAATCTATAAGGGATATTAGAAGCTGTTGTATAACAAATACAAATAAGAATGCCTTAGTCTTCTTTATATTCAAGCTGTTGTTCTTTCTAGCAGCCTAGTAGCCTCAATATTTTTTTTTTTTACTGTATTGTGTTGTATGTCATTATGCAGCTTGTAGCACCCCCTGCCACACTTTTAGAAAAGATTTTCTTTCTTTCTGCCATCCATCCATCTTAACCACTTACCCATTTGAGGTTTCATTCAGATCATTCAGATTTAATTTCTTTCCCCCAGTAACGTTGTTGCATATGCAGTCCCAAAAAGGTCATCCATTAGCTCATATTAACACTGTAAGAAACAGCGCAGAGCCACGAAGGGATTTCCTGGTGTCTCAGCATTAGTTCTATGTTTTTACCATCCTTGTCTGAAAATGCAGGTTGTTGATTCTCATAGTCACTGAGTGGATCTCTAGGACAAGAGATCATATCGTTTAATTTTGGCTGCTGTAGAAAATGTCAGTGAATCATGCAGTTGCATCATTACAAAGGATGAGTCACTTTGTCTTGGAGAAACTCCTGGAGTAATTATCTGTAGGTAGGTTCAGTGACTAAAGCTAGATTATATATGACAATAGTGCTTGCTGGCAATTATTGTGAAATTGAAAATGCACCATGAAGCCATGTGTACACAAAGTATGTACACGGAACATTTCATCTTATACTATTTGTAATTCAGCAAAGTCAAAGCCAGTCAGCAAAATCAGTGTTGAAAAATTTGTGATCTCTTCACTTTTCCAGTGATGTATTAGTTGTTTCACGTTAGAGTTTTTTTTTCTTTTTCTACCTCTTTTTGACACTGAGGGCTTTAAATTGGCATTTTGAACCTTATTGCATGTAAATAAAAAGCCTTTTTGTCTAGAAGTCAGTCATAGCATAAACACTGAGCATGTTAGATGGCCCCATAACTGACAAGAAGAGATGGCTGCAGAATAAGGATGGAAATGTAAAAGCTTAACTTGCAGGGGCGAAATAAAAGACAGAGCGAGTGTCAAAAAATGTGTCGGAAATGAAAGAGAGGCGAATAGAGGTCCTCAGTGCATTATGGGAGGTCCCCCGTCAGCCTAGACCTCTAGCAATATAATTAAAATGTGGTTTAGTGCAACCTGAGCCAACCCCAGCCGTAATCATTTTAGTTTGTTTTTTTTTAATCAAGAATGAAAGATTAAAAAGGGCTGTTAAAAAAAGAAATAAAGTGGGAGGTGGAATCTGATAACTGAAGACTCTGCCTCCCATTGTACTCTTGGAAACTCTAGGAGTTACAACTAAGCCATAGTGTAGGTTTTTCCTTTTTTTTTTTCTTCTTTTTTTTCTTTCTTTATCACACTTCAAAAGTTTCTAGGCATATGCTGTCCCTGTTTTGGTGTTTTTTCTTTAAAGCAGTGAAACATGTATAAAAATTGCCGAAGTGGGACGGCTTGGAAGCAAATGCTTTTCTTCTTTGTTTACTGAGAAAGAGTTGAAATTGAGTCTAGCATGCACCAAGCAATCCTTTCAAACACGTTTACGTCATTTTGAGCATCCCTGCAAAACATTCTTTGTTACAGAAGTTTTTCTTTGTTTTTTGTTTTTTTTGGTCGCTAAACTCCTCTCAGTGTCGCTTTTCTGTTACATGCCACAGAAGGCGAGGGGCGAGTGAGGCCTGTCACATGAAACAGGAAGGCACTCCTCAACACTCGAGAGTGCTTTGTCCCACAGGAAACAGTGGAAATCTGCCTGACGCTTCAGGAGGGGGGAAAAAAAACCCATATTGTGGTGATGTGCAGTAGCGATGAATATAGAGGAGATTGCCATAATCAGTGCAGACATGTGTCCCCTCCCGCAGGGCAAAAAAAGTCTTTTGGTTTAAACAAGGTATATAAATGTTTTTGTCAAGTAAAATATTCAAACCTATTGCGCCTCTTATCCTGCTGTTAGTTTTATTCTACATAGATATTGAATAATCTGATTATAGGATCCAAATCCTGCTTGCCTAGAAACATTTTGTCAATTTATGGAAGAAAAAAATGTTGCCCATAGTTAGCAACCTAAATTCATAGATTAACATGTCCTACAAATGTATTTAACCCGGTGATTCAGTACTTTGCAGTGACTGAATCGTCTTAGAAATGATTTAACATCTTAGACGATCTGGATTTTGGGATTTATTTATTTATGCATTGGCTGCTTTCCATGCCCTTATCCTTGAGGGGTAGCACTGAGTGTTTGTGTGACTGTGACCATGGCTTTTTTTTTTCTGAATAAATGGATTGTCTGTTGATTTGCATGAGGGGAAAATAACTAAATCTTAACTACAAGAAAGTCCAAAGGGGGTGATCGTATACCTGTGAATGGGTTATGATTTAGGTAGACTGTGTGAAGCCAGATCAGATAAAAAAAATAAAAAAAATCACTGCCCAAGATATATTTTCTTATTATTTTCATGCTTTCGTGTAGTAATAAAACAAAAAGTAATATGACATGTCTTTTTTTTTAAACAAGCAACAACAACATATTAAGTTTAATGTGTAAATGTGAAACTTAAATGACTAGTTGAATACTCAACTGCTGAGCTGCTCAGTTTCATTCTTAATAGCTTAGTCAAAAGGTGACATGCACATTGCAGACATTGTGATGTCTGATTAATGCAGGAGAACTTGAAGCAGCTTGAAGTTTACTCATAGCTCATTATAAAGCGTAAAGATGATAAATCGGCTATGTTTTGTTTCTCATTCAGTCTTTTCAGATTTAGAGTTTTTTAACCAGTCCTTTAGAGTTAAGAGTTTGGGCTATCATTTAGATCATACACCCATCAAGTCGATGTGATTTAACTGCTGGTTGTTCAAAAACTGGTGGAAGCTGAGAGCCGACACAGACATGTGAAGGCATGTATTGATATGTTTTACCTTTCAGCTCATACTTTATGTGTTCAGTGCTATGTCAGACACTAATCATAGTAAACAGAAATTTGGCAGGCACAGACACGAGTCCAATGCTAGCTCCAACTCACAGTCTGGGCTGGTCAACAGGGAAATGTAGTGTCAGCAGAGCAGGCTTTGTAGCAATAGAGAGGGTAAAGATTCATCCATAAACACTCCATTGTTTTTATTGTAATCTGTGTCATTCATATTTCACTGTTGAGCACTTGTATTCAGTTTTCCCCTCACTGTCTTCCTTCTCCTTTCAGATGATATTGACGGTGTACCTCAGTGACGGGGAGCAGGCCGTGACTGAGGTGCCCATCACCCCTGAAACAACGTGCCGCGATGTCGTCGAGTTCTGTAAAGAGCCCGGCGAGAGCGGCTGCCATCTGGCCGAGGTGTGGAGAGGCAATGGTAAGGCCCATTTGAAGCTTTCTCACGGACCTGCTGAAGTGCTTAATATTCAGAACAGGGAGCGCTGCCTTTCTTATAGGAAGCAGCATCCAGTTCGCTGCCACGTTAAAGAGAAAGAACAGCGGTTGTCTCTTGTAAATGCCTGAAGGTGAAGTAATCTGAAACCCCATTATTGCTGAGCCAGACACTTCATTTGCATGCACAAGAATTTCATTTTCTCAAACAGTAGCCTTTAGCTTTCTTTATTAATGTAAAAACAAGCACTTAAAAAAAAACGAGTTGAGGGGCTGAATGAGGCCGTGCATACTTACCTGAATGGAATAAAATAATTCACATAGCAAATTTTAATATGAGAAAAGGGTTATGTGCCAGTGTACTTCACGCCCCTGTCACAACAGATTCCACTCGGTCCCATCACCATCGCTGTGCTGACACACCCTTTGTTATCAGCGGTTTTTAAAGGCCTACTGCTCAGTTGAAAACAGCATTCCAGTAAAACGCTTTATTGACCTCACGTTATGCAGTCATGTGAGGCCTGACAATGCAACTGGCTGCCCCAAAACCCTCCTAAAACCTCTCAGTCTCTGTCTCTACCTACTGTCTCGGTCTCAATCTTTTTCAGTTCTGCATACACATTATGCTGTAAATATTCATCTCTATCAGTGGACTCTTCCTCGGGGTATCATCATTTTAATTCTGAGATTGTCTGTATGGCTACGATGTAAACAGAAATAGCATAAAGTGAATTATTCACACACATAATCCCTGCAAATGTATGGAAGGTGGCATCACACTCAGAGACAAGCAGTTTGATGCCTTGCGTGATTAAGAAGCCCAACTAAAAATGAGGAGTCTGGGAGAAAGAAAATCTTTTTATATGATGGACACGCAGCCGACAAATCTGCAGGAACTGTGTGATGCAGTCATATCAATATGGAGGAAAAACTGTGAGGCATGTTTCCCGCACCTTGTTGAATCTGAGCCTTGAACATTTAAGGCAGCTCTGAAGACAAAAGAGGGTCCAACCCAGTACTAGCAGAGTGTAACTAATGAAGTGCCGACTGACTGTATAACAAGTTAATCACTGAGCTTTAGAGTTAAGTGTTTTTTGTTCATTTAAGTACCAGGCTAGCTGAAAATCAGTGTACCTATTGTAAATGACTGAACCTGGTCGACCTTTCCTTAACTTTTCAGAGCGAGCAATCCCCTTTGAGCACATGATGTATGAACACATGCAGAAATGGGGACCTCGGAAGCAAGAAGTCAAATTCTTCCTCCGGCACGAAGATTCACCAACTGAGAGCAGCGATCAAGGTGTGTGCTGTCTGCTGCTTTCTCTGCTCTGTGTGCTTGTTTTTTCACACAGAAGGCTGAACAGTAGAGGGTGGAGTCGATAGCTGTCGGGAAATTCTTGGCATCTGTTCTGCCTTCCTTGTAATGAAGACTGGTGTCACTTGGTGTTTTTTCTTTCTGTTTTCTTCTGCCACGTCTAGTCTAGCCAAGCCGTTTGCAGACTTTACACATTAAAAAAGACCAGATTTCTCTCTGTTTTTGTTTTCTCCTTTTTTTGGAGCTTTGTAAATATTAGTTTAGCCTTTCTTAAAATAGGTGAAGTGTTGTTATGTTCTTAAAAGCTTTGTAGAATTAAAAAAGCAAAGGTTGTTCAGAGGGGAATATCAATGGAATAACTGGTTTGCCAGCTATCCCACGCACATTAATTACATTGTCTTTCTGTCTGGATAGAGCAGAGCCACATAAACAGCTATGTGTAACATCCACTCTTAAGTATTATCAGCCTGAGTCTGTAATGTTTTAACTACAAGTTACCTGGTGGTCTTCCCGATCATGTTTACATTGGCTATAAACTACCAAATAAAAGCTGAGGTCATTCTTTCCTGTTTTTTTGTTTTTGTTTTTGTTTTTTTTTAATTACAGAAAAGAGGGCAGTTTTCTGTCCTCTGCTGTGAATTTTTATACATTTATTAAAAGTATGAGGTAGGTGGCTTTAGTTAGCAGTGCTTGTCCCAGTTCTTAAAGCCCCCTGTCATGTGCAATCATACCAGTGAACTTTAAGACGATTTCAGACAATGGTGGTTGTCTCTGAATCTTCACTTGCGTGCGGTACCTTCGTCTTTGCACTCCTGCACTCTTGAGTGTCGCACTGGTACACTGCATGTCTGTATTGGGTTTTTCGGGTTTTATTTATTTATGGTGACTGCTTCTTTTTTTTTTTTCCCCTTTTTTTCAGGGAGTCAGCAGTCTCAGGAGCAAATGAGTCGCAGAAGTGGAAATACTGGAGACAAGCACAATGAGAATGGGGTGAGAGTTAATGTTGAAATATCTGTCTCTGTGTAGTGTTCTTTAACATTTGCCCTATAGTTCACAGTACAAGATATAAGTATAAAACACACTAGAAATGAAACGGGAGTACATGTGTCTTTGTTTTGGGGGTTTTGGTCATGCTTCACCGTAATAATATGATTTTAACTCCAAACTCAGAGGATCATCTCTGCTCTGGTGTGGCAGGGCTGTTCCTTTTCCACACACTGTTGGCGTTTTCCTGTCAGGTGTACCCATTGATGTACTCTTTGGCTTAAGGATGTGTGTACTAAGAGATGTGAATGACTTCGATAAGAGCAGCCTCTGGGAACAGCTTTCTCTCTCTGACCATCTGTCCCAGATTTCTCAACAAGAAAGTGTTGCAGTCAAGAAATTGTAACTAATTCAACCTTCAGGGTTGAAAGAAGGCTTTGTTTATTTTGTTTTCAAGAGCATAAAAGCACCCAGAAGCTATCCTCTGTATATTCTCCTAGAAAATCTGCAATTTTTAACTTTGTTTTTGTTGAGAAGATCTGTTTTGTCATCCATAGACTACATGTACATAGCCCATTGTACTTAAAAATAAATTCTACAGTGAAATATCATTTCTCAGATTTAATTTGAGGTTTTTTGTCAGTATTAAAAGAACCGTGTGAGGTATAGTCCTTTTTACAGAACCAGTATTCAAGTATTTAAAAGTAACTGGACACTGGGTGACTAAATGTTTCCTGCATGTTGTTTTATGCACAAAAGGCCGGCTTTTTTTTTTTCTTAGATGTGTTTCCAGTTAGACCTAGATGGGTTTGAATGGATGTCAGTATGTGTAAAGAAGCAGATAAATCAAAGTGATTTGATTAGCCAGAATTAATGGTGAATTAATTACAGTCAAGAATGCACCACGATGGAGTAATATCATGACAGAAGCTGAGAGGATTCGTCTTAAGATAGAAACCCTGGGTGAGCCTTAAATAATAGTAAGGCGGGTACAGTTTTCAAAAAAGCATTAAAAAAAAAGCTTCTTTGAAAATGATGGATAGAAGAAAGGAACAACTCGAGCTCTGAAGCATCACCTCATCTGTCAAACATGGCGGTTTTGCTTCTGTTGTGATGAGGCTGCTAATGAAAGTGGCATGGTGGCGTTTATTGATAGTTTCCCTGCTGATAGAGGGAATAGGGCGAACGCAGATGTGTACCGAAGCTTTCAGATTATCTCTTTGGACAAAATGTAAACATTCAGCAGGTAAATTAAAATCTTCAAACAGCCCAAACATCTGAGTAATGAAGGACCTTTCATGGTCACGAGGTGAAGGGGGTGTTTGTGGATGGTTGCAGATATTATTTTTAAAACTTTGAGCACTCTGTGTTTAAAAGGCGTGTATTTCCTCCACAGCTCTTTGTATAATAAATAAACCTAAACTTGGCGCTTTAATCTACTGTGCTTTATTTTATTTCACGAGTAATGTGCTTAAGGAGAGAGCCTCAGAAATAAACAGTGTAATACTTTAGAGTGTAGATATTGAAATTGACTATTGATCGGCACCAAATGACACACTCTGTATCATTAGTGTCACTACTGACAGAAAGAGACACTGAATGGCTCCTCCCATTCAAAGTACTGAGACTAACTTGTGTCCAAGTTTCTTCTTAATATCTGATTTAGGGGATTATATTAGTCGGCCCTCTGGATGATATAATGGTTGTTAAGAGGATCAGTGCTTTAGCTTTTCCACTTGCTGCTGCCCAAACCCCAGAGGCTTTCAGTCAGCCCAGCAGAGCTGATCATCATCATCATCTTAAAGAACAGCGATCCCTGTAGGGAATACTACGATTACAATTCATTTTTTTATATCACCATTTTAGCTGCCATAAATGATAATTACAGCTCATTGGCACTACCCAGAAATGTAATTGAATTAGTCAAGACTAGTAAAATTACTAATAATTTCAGTGATTTTATTTTTTTCTCCCAGGCAACAATATCAAACTGCCTGTGACGCCAGTTTCTCGGTTGCTGTTTTTCCTTTGAAATCTCTTATAATTAATAGCTTAGGATTTGTAGGTTGTAGCTCAGGAGGCAGAGTGGGTCTGAGAGAGAGAGCCTTATCCCCTGTTGCTGTTGGCTGTTAAACATATTGTTCTTATTTTATTAACAGACTAGTATTTCTGGGATCGACTAGCAAGGACAGCAATGTTTAAACGTCCAGACAACTAGTCGCACACATCCCCAGGAATTACTCCAGTGTTACCCTGATAAGACTTTACATTTGCAAGCAATTACAGTCGTTGTGGGCAAATGTATACAATTTGCACAAGGGTTTATGAAATCCTGCAGAACGGCGTCCCTCATCAGCGTGCACTTGGCTGCTTTCGTCCCCTCTTCCTGCCGTCTGCTCAGTTGGGCGTTTCTCTCTCTTCGCCACACGAGAGAGTCGATTTCTCCCTCAGAGGAACTGTCACTGATGCAGTGTTGCTTGAGTGCATTTGAGCATGGCCGTGTTCATGTGCCAGTGGCTTCCCCCACTCTGCCCATCTCTATCTCGATCGAGTCATCATGCTGCCCTTCCAGCCTTTATGAGGCTTTCTAGACATCCTTATAACTAAAAGTCTTAACAAATGCCAAGGAGTAAAAGATTGTCTATGTGGGTGCACTACTGTTGCATTCTTTGAGTAAAGTAAAAGTTGAATTTACTCCCAGCAAGACTCATGTTTTTTCACGTCTCCTCTAACCAAACAGAGCAGTAGTTACAGGTATTGTTGTTGGTATTATTGTCCTCCCCACCACTTTAAATATGTGTTGGATCCAGCATCCATGCACTTGACACACGATATGCCTCTTACTAAGCTCTACTCGAGCCAGGATTCTACATTTTTCAGTCTGTTGTTGAAGGAAAAAAGGCACCATGACATTTCCTGCATCGTCTCCTCCCTCTCAGTGCTCTTTCCAAAGGCAAAGGCTGGGAGCATTTCAATATCGCTTGTAGTGTGGTGGAGCGTGTTCGCTCAGTATTCTGTTTAAAGGTAGTCGTCAGTGTTTTGAATCTAGAAATCCAAAACTCTGTAGGGAAAAGCCAGCCTGCCTTTATTCTGTGAGCTCTTGAAGAACACATGGGTGCCAAAATTTCAACTTCATGAAAACTCTTCTTGGAGGTGAAACCTTTTTTCTTTTCTTTTTTTTTTTACCTCTCATTTAAATTTCTGTTCAGGCTCTCTGTCAGTCGACAGTTTGCTGCATGGATCTGTGTCTCGGGTTTGGCTGCAGTAGCGTTTGGTTGTGCAGGGCTCTCTTTCACTTATCTTTTACAGCTGTAACACTTGGTTGAATAGCGAGCTATGATTTGTTACTTTTATATTTAAAAAAAAAAAAACTTAACACACCAAATTGCTCTTTTGCATCTTATGTGACGGCGATTGTTTGAGAGTGACAAACACTGACAACAAACATGAGCAATAAGAAAACAACACAAACACACAAGTGAATTGCAGACTTCAGCTCATTTGATTGTGCTATGCATGTAAAATGTAATGGACAGACACAGGCTGATCAGTCAATAAAAACGATCAATAGTACCGGCTTGTGTCGCCGGTCATTACAAAGCTTTGGGCTGACAGCTGACTCGTAGTTTCAAGAAGGTTTTCAGCTCTGAGCTTACAGACTTGTGGTGGTAGTAAACAGAAGTCTGAGTTACTAAACAGAGGGCAAAGTTGTATGTATTTATTTATTTGTTAAGGAATTTGATTATTAACTATTGGACACTAATTTAGAGCAGTTTCAAATTTATAAACATACACATCTAAAGGAAAGTAAACGACTGAGATCTACAATTTTGCCTCTGGCTGAAAACAGTAGGGCAAACACAGTTAATTGATGTTCTTCATTCATATTCATCTTAAATATAAATTTAACATTTCCAAATTTGCCACTGCTAAACTGAACTTGTGCTTTGTGGGAATTAAAATGATAAAAATGATTTAAAAAAAAAAAAGATGGGTAAACATATTGGGGAATGCGAGGGGTACGTGAGGCATTGTGGTCTCTAATCTTTTCGTTTTTTTGACACATTGTAAGGATCTGCAATGACGCTGATTGGATTTCACTTTTTCCCCTTAGAGCTTCAGTTTCGTACACTTCATTTTCTTTTAAACTTTGTAAAGCAATGAAGTAGCAAAGAATGAAGTTGTTTGTTTGTCTGCCAAACAATTCATTGTGCAGTGATGCCACAGTGACGTCAGTTACCGAGCTCTGTTTAACGATGAACATGATCAGTGTATTAATATGACAGCAAAATAAGAGCTTGTGCACATTTACAGTCCACCTAGTCATCAAAGAGTAAAGCTCTCCAGTGTTACTGGCCATCAACAACAGGTTATTTTATGTATGGAAACACAGCTTCCTCTAGTTAAACCTCTGGAACTCTTTGTTCTGGACAACCAGAGCTAAATGTAATAAACTGATTCATGTTTTTGTTTTGCTGTAACAAAACCGACTTCTGGTAATTTTGTGTGCTTGAGTAACGTGGCAGCCTCGTGTCTGGTCACAGCTCCACTCTTTTACTCCAGTAATGCCTTCATACGATACGAAGCTTATGCTGTGTGTGTATAAACACCAAATGACATGTTGCCCCTCAGAGGCTCGGGCCTACTGCCCACTAACTGATTCTCCATCATAATTAAGGTCCCATAATGATGCTGTTTTGGAGAAAGAGTCCCCAGCTCTCAGTACTGTGCAGTCTACTGCAGTTTGACCCTCTGGCTACTGAATCCAGACATCTTTTAAAATCATTTCTGCAAATGGCTTTTTTTTCCTCTTCGTAACCTATTTCTCTGTGCTTAGTTTTTCAGCTTCTTTTTCTTATATAATATTTTTGGCTTATGTAATGTTGCAGGCCCGTATTATTCTGCATTTATTGACTTGACCTTTGTGTTATCATAGCAGAGTGCTATCAAACATTTACCTGAATATTGGTGTAAAAAAGCACAACGGTATTGCTTATAGATGTTGAACAACTCTGCTGTTAAATGTTAATGTTTTGGCTTCGAGTCGAGAATAATGTAATGTAATTTTGAGTCTGAATCAGTCACCTTTTAGTACAGGAATTATAAGTCATATTTTTCTTGTCAAATTAGCCTTTTTTTCCTGATTAAAATATTGTCATATGTGAGTTTTTATAAGGGAAAACCTTCATTAAACTCATTATTAATCATCAGTCTCAGTGGTTCAACATCAAGAGTAGTTGGGAAGATTTCAGTGTATTGACCAGTTCCTGTGTTGGTGTGTAGGTGGGCAGCCAGCGTGTGGAGCTCACGCTGTCGGAGCTGCAGGAGATGGCCACACGGCAGCAGCAGCAAATCGAGGCTCAGCAGCAGATGCTCGTTGCAAAGGTATCAGCAGCTTCATTCTCTTACCACGAATCCTTCCTCCAAATACAGTCATGGTCTTTTATGCAAAGTTTGTTTTATGCTAACAAAATGTGTTAATTGGAAGCACAAGTGAGTCCATATTTCTCGTCTTTTTGCAGTTCATATTATGTTTGTGTTTCGGTAAAGTCAGTAAATGTTCTTATGCTGGGATGTGTTACTGAAAAATTGTTGCAGTAACTCAACTGAGTAACATAGCAGACCTGACAAATCATAGCCTTGGCCAGGGTTTGGCCTGATGGTGTGTCATTTAGTCCGATGCCACAGACGCAGCCTGGGCATTAGTTCAATCAAGTTCAGGACACAAAGCAGCCTTGGACCGCTCTGTCGGAGAGAAAGTGGAATGTTGTTGCACTCGTCTCATCCAAAGAGTCTGTCGTGACCTGAAATGGGGGCAAACCATTATGTAACGAATGAGATTGGATGCAGTGTGAGTCACGGTGCCAGGATTGTCCAGTCGGTCAGAAATGATACTCAAGTCTTTGCAGGAATTAGCGCTATTCACTAACCAGCTGCAGCTCCACATCATCAGGATTTTATCTGGAGTTGTGAAAAGCATCCTTGTGAATAATTATCAATAAAGACCTGCTTGACTTTCAGACAAGCAGGTCAAGTGCTTAGCTGAAAGTCCGTAGGGTGGAGTCAAGTTATTAGCTAATGCAAGAAAGCTTGGATAGTAAGCTGTAACCATACATTATATGGGTGCATCACACAGAGGCAGCTAGCTAGGCCTGTAATTAACCACAATGCGAGCCATATAATGTTGTGACATTGTCATTAAAAAGATACCAGTATAACAAACACAAGTTAAGAGGCCCATGTCAGTACCCGTTTGTGAGGTGTTGGTAATTTGGCATTTATTTTATAGTCCAGCTATTTGACAAATTACAGTACTGTGCAAGTCTCAAGTTGCCCATTATTTCTTAATATTTATAATTAGAAAGTGGTCTTGCACATTAGTGTTCTAGGCTTTCTGAAGGGCTTTCAATGTTTTGTCCATTCCTGTACCTGACCATTTTCACAATGTTTGTTTTGTTTGAACCACTTAACACCAACTTGTGAATCATTTAAACATAAAAAGCCACCTACAGTGGGGCAAAAAAGTATTTAGTCAGCCACCGATTGTGCAAGTTCCCCCACTTAAAATGATGACAGAGGTCACTAATTTGCACCAGAGGTACACTTCAACTGTGAGAGACAGAATGTGAAAGAAAAATCCATGAATCCACATGGTAGGATTTGTAAAGAATTTATTCGTAAATCAGGGTGGAAAATAAGTATTTGGTCACCTCAAACAAGGAAAATCTCTGGCTCTCACAGACCTGTAACATCTTCTGTAAGAAGCTTTTCTGTCCCCCACTCGTTACCTGTATGAATGGCACCTGTTTGAACTCATCATCTGTATAAAAGACACCTGTCCACAGCCTCAAACAGTCAGACTCCAAACTCCGCCATGGCCAAGACCAAAGAGCTTTCGAAGGACACCAGGAAAAGTATTGTAGACCTGCACCAGACTGGGAAGAGTGAATCTACAATAGGCAAGCAGCTTGGTGTGAAAAAATCAACTGTGGGAGCAATCATCAGAAAATGGAAGACATACAAGACCACTGATAATCTCCCTCGATCTGGGGCTCCACGCAAGATCTCATCCCGTGGGGTCAAAATGATCATGAGAACGGTGAGCAAAGATCCCAGAACCACACGGGGGGACCTGGTGAATGACCTGCAGAGAGCTGGGACCAAAGTAACAAAGGTCACCATCAGTAACACACTACAACGGCAGGGAATCAAATCCCGCAGTGCCAGACGTGTTCCGCTGCTGAAGCCAGTGCATGTCCAGGCCCGTCTGAAGTTTGCCAGAGAGCACGTGGATGATACAGCAGAGGATTGGGAGAATGTCATGTGGTCAGATGAAACCAAAGTAGAACTTTTTGGTATAAACTCAACTCGTCGTGTTTGGAGGAAGAAGAATACTGAGTTGCATCCCAAGAACACCATACCTACTGTGAAGCATGGGGGTGGAAACATCATGCTATGGGGCTGTTTTTCTGCCAAGGGGACAGGACGACTGATCCGTGTTAAGGACAGAATGAATGGGGCCATGTATCGTGAGATTTTGAGCCAAAACCACCTTCCATCAGTGAGAACTTTGAAGATGAAACGAGGCTGGGTCTTCCAACATGACAATGACTAAATACTTTTTTGCCCCACTGTAATTCAAGGGATGAGCCAGGGCTGACAACTTAGGAAAGAACCAATTTTAAATTGTATCTTTAGGCACTCGGTTACTAACAGCCTACAAAAACAAATTTGCTCCAGTTTCTTTAGGTAAATCCATCAACAATGCCAAATATTACACAATTTGACAGTGATAAAAAAGCACTTTTGCAGAAACATGATTCCCAAAGAACTATTAGAAGAAAATTTTATATATCCTGTTCAGTGTCCAGTGTGCTTTCTTTGAAGAAACTGGACAAGTGGAGGACAAAGGAAGTGGCAGGCCTAAAACACGATCTACATGCAGATGAACAGTACTGCATCAAGTCATGCTTGATGAGGAAAAGAATCCAGCAAAGACCTGGCACAAGACCCGAGAAATGCAACTGGATCCTCAGTTTATCAATCATGATTCACTGAAGCCTAATCAGAAATGGTCTTAGTTCCCACTGCTTTCAGTCCATAGTGCTGTGCTTGGTGGCCGTCAAGAAGCCACTGTTAAGGAAGGAAAAGAGAAATTGCCAAATTACAAAAAAAAAAACAGGACTGAAAGTGAGAGGCAACGGGTCTTATGGAATGATGAATCCAAATTTTAATTTGTCATTATTTCATTTAATTTTCCATGGATTGGTCTCCCAGGACCTCAACATTATTGAAGCAGTGTGGGACAGAACAGAACAAAAGGCAGCCGGAGAACTATTTCTAAGGATTATTTAAAAGAAAATTGGCTAATCAATGCCAAGTATCTGCGTCTGTGCATCTATGCTAATGAACAAAGCACTATAGAGTCACTTTATACTCCAAAAGCAGTGTGCTTCTAAATGTCCTGCTAAAAATCAAGGCTTTGGAAAAGGACCTCACAAACCAATGGTGGCTGCCCTCCTACTGTCTATTATCAGGATTTCTCCTTCAATGGAGGAGGAGGAGCTGAACGTCGCACAAACAGCCTACCTTGTCACTCTGTGACTTTTCATTGCACTAACTCACTCTGACCACCGTGCTTGTGGTATGCTGATCAGTCATGCAAAATAAAGCCCGCTGTAGACTCACTGATAGAAAGACTATTTATTGCCTTTGTTGTGGTGTCTGAAAAGTAGGCCCACTTGAAGCCCTGCAGTCATTTGGAAACCTGGCCCTGTCATTTCCTATTTTAGGACTTTAACTGGAGCAATTCTCAGTTGGGCGGAGATGAAGTCATCTGACCCTTTCTTCAGCCTTCAGACCGTCTTGACACGGCACAGAAATTCACTTAATGTACTCAGTAGAATGATTTAGCCTAGTTTTAGATTTCCTTTAAGCTTTGGGTGGTGCCCTGCTGATTTTTTTTGATTCGTGTGTAGGGATTTTATGTTTTAACCTATAAAGATATACAAATTGTACAGTTTAAAACCACCATTTTATGAAGGTTTCCCCTGTGAATCAATCACTCTTTGCTTTGCTTTCCAAAGGAGCAACGTCTGCGTTACCTGAAGCAGCAGGAGCGACGTCAGCAGCAAAGCGTTTCAGAGAGCGAGAAGCTGCAGAGGCTGAAGGAACGTGTAGAGAGCCAGGAGGCCAAGCTCAAGAAGATTCGCGCAATGAGAGGCCAGGTGGACTACAGCAAGGTCATCAATGGCAACCTGTGTATGTATACTTAAAATATGTGCATAACTTTACCACCACTCTTTAGAGACGATTATATTTGAGTATCAGATAGATAACTGTTTCACAGAAAGGTTGTCTGCGCTCGGCTCGAGCTATTTCACAGTCTATCAGACACTGAAAGAAGATTTATATCTCATATCAGTGCATACTTTATATTCAGAACTCTTGACTTTGGACGAATAAGAGTTCTGAAACGTCTTGGTCTTGAGGATCTTTTCGTTTCTTTAATAAAAGAATAGCATTTGATTTTTGATGAATGGTTTGGAGTATTTTTTTCCCCCCAAAACAAAGAAGCTCTCTGTTGGTGCTGATCCAGATCCTTTTCCTTTTTTTCCCCCCTCCTAAATGCAGCGGCTGAGATCGAGCAGGTTAGCAGCCTGTTCCAGGAGAAGCAGGCGGAGTTGCAGGCAGCTGTGCTGAGGGTGGAGCAGCTTAGCCTGCAGCTAGAGGACCTGCGGAGGGGAAAGCTGAATGGCATACAGACGTCCCTGGGTGGCCAAGTAACCGGTGCTGCAGCGCTGGAGCTCCGCAAACTGTACCAGGAGCTTCAGGTAAAGCAGAGTTGAAATTAGTGCATCATGTCCTGCATACACTTACAAGTTCCGCTACGTTTACAGTGATAGCAGATTATCTTGGTCCAGTCTTTCTATGCATTTGTTTGTCTTCGCTCATCATTATCAGATTCGAAACAAGTTGAATCAGGAGCAAAACAGCAAGCTGCAGCAACAGAAGGAGCTTCTGAACAAGCGCAATATGGAAGTGACGCTTATGGACAAGCGCATCAGTGAGCTGAGGGAGCGTCTCTACAAGAAAAAAGCTGAGGCACGTCAAAAAGAGAACCTCCCTGTAAGACTAGGAGCTCTTAAGATCTCCTGTTTACATATTTTTGGGGGCGGGAAAGTTCTGAAAGTTTTATTGTTTTGTTTTTTTTCCCCTCTATCTCTCTGTAAGACATCAGCTAATACACTGCGGGGTTTTTTTTATTGTTTAAAATAAAACATTTAAATGCTGTTTTAAAGTTTTTATAGATACTCAAAGAAAAGTTTTCATTTGTCTTCTTAGAGGAGCTGTAAAGCCCTTAGAGTAGTGAAAGTTTTATACAGTTTTCGCTTTTCAGCTGTTTTGACATCTCAAACATTTCTCATTCTCTGTTATTATAGCTGAATAGAGCCAATGGGCCTCCGTCTCCCCAGCCAGCTCCCGGCACTCTGGGTCGTGTTGCTGCTGTCGGGCCATATATCCAGGTTCCAGTACCGGCTCGACAGGAAGGCGGCTACACCATACCACCAGATCCACTGAAGCCACAGACTCTGGGTGTTAATAACCAAGCCAACCATGGCCGCACTAAATCAGGTTTGTTTAAACCCAAACATTTTACACATGGAGATTTTCTATTTTTTAAATTTTTATTTTACAAAATGTTTAAAAAACACTGACAAGTTTAGTACATGTAGTCTGAGAGTGCAGGCCCTATAGAACAGCGGTCCCCAACCCCTGGAGCGCGGACCGGTACTGGTCCATGAGACGTTTGGTACTGGGCCTCGAGAGTTGAGGCTCGGGTGTGATATTAATGCTTTTCAGGGTTTTTATTGGTTTTTAGCATTATGGGTTTTTTTTAATCGTTTTTATTGTCAACTTAGTTTCCCTGGGTCTTTTCCCATGTGTTATGAATAAATCTTCTCTTTTGGTACCGGTACTGGTTTTATTTTGTTGTATTTATCCACGACACCTTAAGAGCCGGGCCGTGAAAATATTGTCGGGCATTAACCGGTCCGTGGCACAGAAAAGGTTGGGGACCGCTGTTGTAGAGCCAGCTGGTCAACGAAGGCATGAATGTCTGAAAGTGAGATCACTGATTTCAGACTTTGGACAGTATCAGAAACCTCCAATCATCCAGGGTTCTGTTCAGATAGATCATAAATCCAGCATTTCCAGCTACACATTGAACACTTTCTGCATGCTGCTGAAGTTCCTTCCTCTGCCTGAACTGATTCCTTCCTACCTGACATCTCAGTTGATTCTCCACCTGGGCTTGATTTCTGTGATTGCTTTTCTTTCCTCCCTTCCTCTCTAACCTCACTCTTCTCCTGTGTTGTGTAACCTGTATTTCCCTTCCTTGTCTCTCCGTCTCTCTTTCATGTCTATCCTGTCTTGTCTTTGTGATGTCTGTCTCACTGGGTGTGGGGGTTGGGTGGGGGATGACTCTTCTTGGGGCAGACGGTGTGCGAAAGCCTCCCGGCCCTTGGAAAGTGTCTGATTTAGACATCGTTGTGGACCCGGTTCCCCCGTCCCTTCCAGAATCACACCCGGGCCCTGGAGCCTCCACTGGCTCTGACGGCACGTCCCGTGAGTGCACAGCGCTGCATAAGCAAAAGGATGGCACCTGCAGAACCTTGTCTTGATTGTAGCACAGGATCCACAGCATGCCCCAGATTTGATTTTTTTCTCCCTCCATATTACAACAATGTAATCCATCATACAATTTTGATTCCATCTAATCGAGTTTCTTATTGCGTGGACTAATTGAGTATTTAAGAACTCTCCCCAGTAACACCATGAGCCACCCACACTCTAATCACTCACTGCTGTGATGGGTAAATTGCTACAACTGTCTCAGGCTGAATCCATAAATCACTGACTGGTCATTAAGATTCCTCTGTGGATTTGCCAGTGACTTGAAAGTACTGGGGTGCTGTTTAAAAGCATAAGCTGCACGAAGTTGGTGCTGTTGATTGTAGCTGATATCATGCCTCACATGACTGATGGCAAAGCGCTGCTGGTCCTGTGTGTTCTCGTACACTTCTGAGAAGGTTCGCTGAGTTGAGTGCTCGTCAGTTTAACATGTAAAGCAGTCCATAACATCGTGGCTTTGTTCTAACTTCACCTCATTCCCAGGCCTGCGGCCACCTTAACCTTCGCGCCAAACTCTAACAGCTAAGCTGTGAGAATCACTTTTAGCTGTGAAACACTTTACATGCACGAGGAATTTAACCTGTGCATGTTAAAATATCATAGGATTCACTCTTTAAGTGTCACGCCTGATAATTTGAGAAGAACCAGACCCAGATTTTCCCTTTTAGACTCTGGATAGTGTTGCCTTATTGTAACTGTTTAGACTTTTCTTTCATTGTAAAACATTTTGGTTTGTTATAGCAGGAAAAGCACAGCTGTGATTTATAACATTACAAGTAGTGCATTTGTTTTAGGTGTGCCAGTTCAATGGCTTTATCGTTATGCATGTTTACACACTCGTGGATTACAATCACAGCTGATGGAATGATTTTTGACAAAGTTTCTTCTACCTGTTCTTTCCTACTATAACAAGTCAAAATCTCTGGTCTACTAATATATGATAGCACTTATGTACATCTTTAACACATCACTCACCAGCATTATTGCTGTGTGACAGATTGTGACGGTTATTATAATTTGTGTGTGCAGCACTTATTTCTGTTGTTTTTTGTCATCTTTTTCTTTCCTTTCACGCTGTCCTTTCTGTTTGAAATTACTATTTTTTTTAATTGTTTTTATTTTTAATTTTGCATATTTTCTTTTTAGTTTCACATTTTCTGCAGTTATTATTATCTGTTATTAGCCAGATTATCTTAACTTTCATTGTAGTTACCAATAATAGTTACTAAGTTAAACACTACGTGACTAAAATCAGCAACATACTAATATGCATAAATTCCTTCCTCTACCTAATGTGAAGGCTCGGGATTTTGATCCTATTGATCAGCGGCGCCTCTTGAAACATTTAATTTGATGCAGTTTGTACTTTTAAAAGAAATAAAGAAAATCTCCCTTCTGATGTGTGAGAGTGGGGGAGCTCATGGGAAAGATCTTCTCCTTGGATCGATGTCTATTTGTTATCAGTGATGGACATAAATGTAACATAAAGCGAGCTCTTGGTTTCTTTATTGTGTCTGGTTAATAGGATGGGCATCTAAAAAAAAAAATCCTGACCTCCAGTTGATACCGGTCAAAACAGTATAGTTGTTTTATGTGTTTACAACATTATATTTACTAGTGGTCTTGAAATGTCATCACTAATATTCCACACAGTGCACTTAGTCATAAGAAAAAGCTGCCGTTTAAGACTAGTGCTGATGGACATGCTTTTTTCAAGTCACTTGTGTGATCTTTTCTTTCTTTTGCTCTCCACTAACTGTGTCCTGTTTATGCCATAGCTAATGAAACTGGTTGGCCTACTCTAGGCAAGCCCAGTGCAACTCTAAAACCTCCTGAGAGAAGAGACTCAGGGACTGATACCCAGGGCAAAAGTGCTCCCTCAGGCTCCCCCGGTGCTCCAAGTGCAGAAAAGGTACGTCCTCCTAAACTCCTTTCATTGAAAGCAAATGGAACCGAAAATGGAGAGCATTTGTCTTTAAAATAAAAAAACATTTTTTGAAACATGTTAGCTTCAGTTATAAGGCACAACCTTCACTTTGAAAGTGAATGCTCTCTGCTTTTCATCTGCATTGCACTTTACTGAGTTTCTATACAGCTTGGAGAGCAAAATGGCTAATTTTTGAGACAGGTCGGCATGTTTCATGCAAATTATGGGTAACCACGGCAACCTCCTAGGCCTGTATGATACCAGTTGCACATATGGTAAATTGGCTGCTGAAGATGGATTTTTATTCAGTGGGAAGGAGTGAATCTTTCTTCTTTTTCTGCATATAACAGCTGTTTTAATGATAAATGCCTGTATGCTTCTTCACAGGTGCTAGACTCCAAAATGGCCGTGTCCTCCCCAGCCATCAACAAGCCGCAGCCACCACCATACGGATCCCACCTCACCTCCGCAAACTCAGCCAGCTCCTTGGAGCGCCGTAAAGATGCACCTCCCCCACCTCGCCCACTCCCAAACCCACCAGCTCCCGCTTGGCCCCGCGTGCCCCCCGCCACAGGCTCGTCCTCCCAGCAGATCCAGCAGCGTATTTCAGTGCCACCAAGCCCCACCTTCCAGCCTAATGCACCGCTCTTTCCTTCTGGAATGAGTGAACGACTGGATCCTCCGCCAGCTGTGGCAGTGCGTCCCTTCATCCCAGACAGAGGATCACGGCCTCAGTCTCCCCGAAAGGGCCCACCTACCGTGAACTCTAGCTCCATCTATCACATGTACCTCCAGCAGTTGGCGCCAAAGAGCCAGCCACTAAAGCCTGCTATTAAAGCAGGTAAGAACTGAGATTTTGGGACAGTTTTCTATGAATCTTTTGCCCAGAAATTGAGAATATTTAGTTAGTTGCAGTCTGAAATGTGATGATATACTTATATCATATAAATCAAATTCTTTTAAGTTTTCAAGTGTGAAAAAATAAAAGGAATTTTAGGGGCGACGCAAGCTCTGAGGACATATGATAGACAATTTTAACTTTGGCATTTCAGACTGCCAACTCTTGTTTATTATAAGCAAAATGAAAAAGTGAATTAATAATGAAAGTAATGATGGCATCAATGCCCTCAACTTTAACTCTACCATGTCTGCTCTCTCTTAGTATACGGGAAGCCTGTTCTCCCCTCCAGCTCGACGCCTCCCTCGCCTCTGTCTTTTGGTCAGTCAGGAGGGGCCTTCCCATTGCTCCAAGGCCAACCCAGTGGTGAGGACACATTAGACGGAGAATATGACGATCATGAGAGCTTCCAGCACCTCGAGCCGTCAGCACCTCCTCCCAGTGTGGAGAACATACCACGGCCACTCAGCCCAACCAAGCTGACGCCAATGGTACATTCCCCGCTGCGCTACCAAAGCGACGCTGACCTCGAAGTGCTCCGTAAAAAGCTGGCCAACGCTCCGAGACCACTGAAGAAGCGCAGCTCCATCACAGAACCAGAGGGTCCCAGCGGACCCAACATCCAGAAACTGCTCTACCAGAGATTCAACACTCTTGCAGGAGGCATAGAGGGAAATGGAGTTGGTGGATCTGGAGGTGGGAGTGGTGCAGGTAATGGAACACCATTTTATCAACCAAGTAATCCTCCTGGATACCTAGGAGGTGACCCTCTGGCTGATACAGACAATGGGAATCTCCTCTCAGAAACTCCGCTAGCGCCAACACCAGGCGAAGAGGAGCCGGGCTCTGACGCTCCCCCTGCCACTACTGATGCTAATGACAATGAGCCAGTGGCCTCACCAAAAGGAGGACACATGGATCCTGCTGAAGCCGAGGGATCAGAAGACAACAGCAACAACAACGTGGGAGGCTCAGAAGCGGCGCTGCCCAGCCCTGTGCCGGAGGTCACCACTCCAGAGGAGAGTGGCACAGGGGTCTCACAACCACTGGTGAGAGACACACATACACAGACTTTTATTCAAAGAAATAAAAGTGCTTCAAAGGCTCATCCCTCCTCTCTATTATTACAGGAGAAGCGAACAAACCTAAAAAAACCAAACTCTGACCGCATTGGTCATGGCTTCAGAGTGAAGTTTAACCCTCTGGCTCTCCTGCTGGACGCCTCGTTGGAGGGAGAATTTGACCTGGTCCAGAGGATCATCTATGAGGTGTGTTCTGATTCTATTTATAGACTTTGTTTTATATGTGAATGTAGTTTAAGCACTCATCTTTTTTTGTTCCGGTCCTTCCTTTTTCCAGGTGGAAAATCCCAGCACTGCCAATGACGAAGGCATCACACCCCTGCACAACGCAGTGTGCGCGGGACATCACCACATAGTCAAGTTCCTGCTGGATTTTGGAGTGAACGTCAATGCTGCTGACAGTGATGGATGGTGAGTCCTCATTCGTAGGAAAACTGGATGATGACGCAGAATGTGAAGGTTTATGTGACCTGTTGTATCCATATTTCGTGTTTGTGTGTGCTTCAACAGGACTCCTCTTCACTGTGCAGCCTCCTGCAACAGTGTTCATCTCTGTAAGTTGTTGGTCGAGTCAGGGGCCGCCATCTTTGCTAGCACCATTAGCGATGTGGAGACTGCTGCGGATAAATGCGAGGAAATGGAAGAGGGCTACCTCCAGTGTTCCCAGTTTCTATACGGTGAGAAACATCACACCAATTGGTGTGTACAAATTCTAGAAAGACTTCCAATCCTTTGAGTCCAATCGCTGAGGCTGTAATAAAAATAATGTAGCAAATGTAAGATTATACTTAAATATCCTGATTGTATCCTGAACTGTAAATTATACTAACTGTTTGTTTGGATTCTCTTACATGCAGGTGTTCAGGAGAAGCTGGGCGTAATGAACAAGGGGACGGTGTACGCTCTGTGGAATTATGAAGCCCAAAATCCGGACGAGCTGTCGTTCAGTGAGGGGGACGCCATCACCATCCTGCGACGACAAGACGACAGCGAAACGGAGTGGTGGTGGGCACGACTCGAGGACAATGAGGGCTATGTTCCCCGCAACCTGCTGGGGGTAAACGTCACTCCTCCCACCCCCATTTCAATTTTTTTTTTCAATCAAATTTCAGCTTTGTTATCCAAATTTAAGTTTAAGCAAAAATGAAAATTTACCCTCGAGCTGATTGACTCTTTGACTTTTTAGTTAGATGCCACTTACATGTACCATTGCAAAACAAGAATTCATCAAAGATTTCAGTGACTAATAATAATAATAAATCATTTCTCCTGTTGTTTGCTTTGCAGCTCTATCCTAGAATCAAACCTCGTCAGCGCTCCCTGGCATAGTGTCTCACTCCACTGACCTGTGGCTAACAGCTGGACTACTGACACGACCAAGAGCAGAGAACAACAAAAGAGCCTGGTGCTCTCTCTTCTCCCTGTGGCCATAACCTCCCCCCTGAGCCTTGTGCTTCTCACAAAAATCCTTTTTTTTTTTCTTTCTTTCTTTCCTTCTATGAAGCAGTGGGCACAGAACTCGTGACACATATGCTTACAAGCTGCACACACAAACACAATGAAACACAAGCACTCCGATGTTTATTAAATGACTTCATCCCACCCACAGCCCTACCCCACCCCCACCTCTCTTCAGCCTGTCGCTCTGATATTGTCCCGACTTGGATTTGATCCCGTTTCAGTGCCAGCTCTGTAACTGACATCAATTTGAAGAATCAAACACTAATCCTTGTCTCAGTATTTCTTGCAGTGTTCACACTTGTTTAGCCATCTCCCTACTGAGGTCTGTGGTGGCAATGGTTTACACGACACTATATTGATAACTGGAAGTTCATCTTTAAGATTGGGAGAAGTCGCTGATTTTTTTTTTTTCCATTTTATTTTATTTGTTAATGTAATGTAATAAGAGTTATTGGACATGAAGTATTTTTTTAAGGCTAATTTGATCCCTGTGACTAAAACACTAATGCAGAAAATATGTACTTTAATGAAGGCCTAACCACCAAAGATGAAAATGCATCAACTTTAAATCTATTACTCCCTGTGATCTTGCAGAATTGTTGAGTGAGATAATCAATTGATTTGCTGCTATCAGAAAGGATTATTAGTTCTCAGACTTTAGAGTCCTTCGAGACTATGCTGTAAATCCTGAGTATTTTTGTCAGACAGGCCAGTGAAATTCCAGTGTATTCAAGAAAAGATGAATATAGATTTGACAGTTCGCACATTGCCATGAATTGCATTTCACAAACATCGTTGCAAGATGTGATTTCTTTATTTATTTTTCTTCCGTTAGTGTCATCTGTTCAGAATGTGGATGCAGGATTGTTGCGGATGTGTGGCGAGAACATTAATAAATTATAAGTGAGCCTTTGAACAATAACCCCTGTGAGCTGGTGTGCGTCATTCTGTGTGAACCAAAGATACATCTATATCTATATATCATTCTACTCTTTTAGCTGTTGGTTCTCAAACTGTGGAGCTACGGATGGTCAGATATTGGCAACTATGTGTGCAATATAAAGTGAACCTAACGTGACTTGGAATGATTTTGGAAGAGGAAATAATAGTTTTACTGAAGCTTCTTTTGTGTTTAGCTTTAAGATAAAATTCAGAACTGGTCCTTTTTATTATTATTATTATTATTATTATTATTATTATTGATTGATTGGAAACACTGGGGTGTGAGGGTTCAGCTGTTGGTGGGAACTGTTGGGGGAACATAACCTGCACATAGCCAACGTGTCAAATAATGAGGTCAGGTTATGTCTATTGTGAGCATCCACAATTGTAACAGTATTTTTAAGAAAAAAAAGCATAACATGTCCCTTTAAAGATCTGATATAACAAAAATAATGAGCCAGGCCAGAATCAACTTCTCATATTTAGTTATAAAAGATTCATAGCATAGGGTGGGTTTTTATTGACAGCTTTCATTAAAAGTTTAATCTAGCCTCCAAGGTCAATATAAAATATGAAAACAATCTGTCAAACCATCTTGCTTTGTTTACCCTTCTTGAGGAAGTGGAGTTTGAACTGATTTTAATAAACTGTATTAATAATCTATATTCAGTCATTTCATTAGAAACCCCCCACTGAGTTAGGTTCTTTTAAACAGGATTATATGTGACAATACCCTAAATCTCAGGGTTTAAAATGCTGCTGATGGGAAATTTTATTTTAGTTCTTGTGTAATTTTACAAAGATGGAAATATCTCTCCGAACACCTTTCTGTTCTCAGATGAATGAAAATGCATTCCATGAAAGAGTTCAGGTCTTAGGAGGTTAAAATTCAAAAACCATATCCAGAGAGAATAGAAAGTAGTCTTTCTTTGTAAAATTGCTATATCACCATGGATGAATTATGCTTAACTAATTGCCTTTGGTTAATAAGCATTTAAAACAGTTTGTCTTATAAAATTCAGTTGTGAATTGCAATAAAACGGGCATCTGCAGTAGTACACTCCAGATGTGCACGTGCATAAGATGTGACAGTTGTCAATCAACTCCATGAGGCCTACAGCAGTTGTTTCATTAGTGGCAAGGAAGAGGTCTGCTTAGCCGCAGCGTGGTGCTAGATCGAGTCTGCAGTGCCTTCAAAGCAAAGCCAATGAGATATCCTCATCTCAAAAAAATAACTTCATGCTGTGTATCAACTGAGACTTGCATTATGCAGTTTAACTTTGTTTCCACCAGAGGGCAATAAACCATCTCAGATGACTTGTCTTCTAGCTCCAATCTAGTACTAAAGGGTTTTTCATTTACATGAAATTAAAATTAACTTAATAAAACTAGGCAGCACGGTGGCACGGTGGTTAGCACTGTTGCCGCACAGCAAGAAGGTCCTGAGTTCAATTCCAACACCAGGCCAGGGTCTTTCTGTGTGGAGTTTGCATGTTCTCCCCGTGTTTGCGTGGGTTCTCTCCGGGTACTCTGGCTTCCTCCCACCGTCCAAAGACATGCAGCTTGTGGGGATAGGTTAATTGGATAATCCAAATTGTCACTAGGTGTGAATGTGCGAATGAATGTGAGTGCAAATGGTTGTTTGTCCCTGTGTGTTGGCCCTGCGACAGACTGGCGACCTGTCCAGGGTGTACCCCGCCTCTCGCCCTATGACAGCTGGGATAGGCTCCAGCGCCCCCCGCGACCCTGAAAAGGATAAGCGGAAGCGAATGGATTAATAAAACTATTTCCCTGTTACTACTATCACACAGTACTCAGTTTACAGCTGTTACAAGGACTGTTATGCCAGGTTCTATTAGAAAAGGCTTACAGGAAAGTGTGCATTAACTAATTAATAGCCATGTTTTAAATCCACTGCAAAGGACAACACTATCCCACAGAGAGAGAGCTACTTAAAAACAGATCAAACTTTCTTAAATCCATCCAGCCTGTGAGCTGGTGCCGGACTGGTTTATAAGGTCACAAAAACCAGCAACCTTCTCCTGTAGTTCCTATGGAGACCTGGCTATAGTCCAGATATCGTGCTGAGCAACACAGCTGCTTCTGTAGAGGCCCAGCTTGATCACCAGTTTGATGAAATGCGTCCTAAGCTTGCCTTTGTTCACTGTTTGTAGGTGATGAGATGGAGAAGGGAGGGTTTTCTGAGGCCAGAGTGGCTGTGGCAGCTCTGGATTTTTCTAAAGTTTGGAACTGACTGCTGGGAATAGTAGGAGGGTGAGAAGTATGAGAAAAAAGGCACAAGTCATACAGGACAGATAATCTCATTGTGGTGTGAAGTACATTATAAAGAAACTGCTGATGGAGAGTTTAGACAGTTAACTGTAGCTAAACTGGGAGATTTATTTATTTAAAATATTTAAGGCTTAGAGTTTGAGCACCTTAATTTTTCTTCTTGATTGTTCCATTGGCTATTTTTCAAAGACAGGATGAAATCTTCACAATTAATAAACTGGAACATGGTCATTTTGTCTAAATTAATTTAATTTATTTTCTTTTTTTTATAACACAAAAATACAAATCAAATAGAAAATAAATAAAAGTAAAGTAAAAACAACAAAAGATCTACACCTCCAGAGCATTTAAAACCTAGCTTTGACCTCAACCTTCAAATGACAACGATATTTAGGCTCCTAATTAAAAGGTCATGGTGAACAGCGCTCGTATCTTTCTACACTACAACTTCCATGAAGCAGTGGACTACAGGTTTGGAATAATAGAGCGCATGCGCGTTACCTGCTCGAGTAAATCGATGACCTCATGAGCAGCCCGGACCAACCAGTCGGTTGAATTCTCTGCCTGCCGTCTGCGCTGAATGTTTTTCTTGCGCTATACCTTTTCGAGCACATGAAGCGCTTACCAGAAAAGATGTTCACCGTAACGAGGTAAGCGGACTGTCCTCAGACAGAACTTTACCGTTAACAGCTAAACCATTAAACCGCCCGAGAACCCACACCGCTGGTTGGGCTGCGTTGTTGTTGGTGGTGGTGGTTGTGACCTCCGTACCGGTGTGGCCGGTCAGTGCTACAGCCGTCGTTGACATGACTGCGGTGAATTTACTCGAGCTGTCTTTGTTGAATTTTCACTGATATTCATGCAGCTATTTACTCTGGAGCACGCGAGTATCCAAAAACCTCGCCCGGACAAGGTGAGAGTCCGGTACTATTTGCATGTGTTTTGCAAATTGCTTTTTGTTGTGTCGCCTCTACCTGTTTGTGGAGTTTATTAAAAAAGAAAAAGAAAGGGTGGGCTGTATAGGCTAGATAAACCCACTAAAGTTTGAAAAAGTAGGTCTAAAGAGGACCTTGGCAATTTCCTTAGTGGTTTTGGCCACGTTTTTATAATATCTCTTATAGTGTAACTTATTTTTTGGACAGGACAGTGGTGTTATAATCTATTAAAGAAAATAAAGGTTAATGTCTGAACTCTAACCTGTGCTCATAATTAACTACTGAACCTGTGTGACCAAAACTAAACTTACACCAACTCACATATCCACGTTTAAGAATCTAAATGGAAATTTTGGCTAATATTATTTAGATTTTTGGAAAATTGATTACAAGAAGGCCACCTTTACTATTTGGACAAATGAATCACAAATTAATTTTAATAAGCAGATCTTTATTGTGAACTTTGGCCAATGTGTACAGAGCTGGAAAGTAAGCCTGTCAGAGTCTTTAGGCACAAAGGTCCGTGCATGCTAACGTTTAACTCTCTTTCATGTACATTAAGTTTTGATTTGAGTGCAGAGACATGTGAGTAAAGTACAAATATCCTTCAGAACGTTTCTTCCCTCTTACTGCCCAGCTCTAAGACTTTGCCTCTCCTGAGTTAATATTCACTTCTATCAAGTAAAGTCACTCTTTTGAGAAGTCATGAAATCATAGGTCACAACACAGAGATTAGCACAAATCACCACGGTGGTAAGCTTATTCCCTGTTGGATGTTTATCAGAAAGGACTTACATTCCCGAGAATGAAAATGCTCTAAATCATTTGGGGGGGGGGGCTGTGTGTGCTTGTAATGGGCCGCTGCTGTCTTGTGAGACGGCTTACTGCTGTGGTGTGATCAGCAGACGTGTTTTCACTGTAAACACTGGAGAAGCCTTACATGATGTACCATGCTGTTATTTTGTCGACAGAATTAATGTGCAGACAGGGAGTCGGCTGGATACAGATGAGCATCAACAGGCCCTGACATTCAAATTACAAGGTTTTTTTTTTTTTAAAGGGGCACTTTGCAAGTGATTAGTCTGTGTTGTAAGCACATGCTTTCCCAAGTGGGAATGTTTATCCAGTGGCTATGATATAATTGGGTAGTATTAACAAGCACAGATATATTGGTATTTGTGTAACTATACAGATTTGCAAATAGTGTCTAACTAAAATCACTTTGAGGCTTTTTGATTCAACTGTTTCTTGTGGTGAATCATCTCACCTGGCCACCTTAGACTGTGTTTACCTAATGTGCTTGTTGGGTCCTCTTGCCTGACTGATGAGCAAACACAACAGTGATGCATGCACCTTTACAAGCCTTGCTGCTCTGTGTGAGTTCAGTTTATCAGTTGCTGTTAGCAGCTATGTCAGGTCAGCTTTTGGTGATCAAAAGCACACCGAGTGGTGCATTATGACATGTTGTGATCCATCCCAATCTCATAGCAAAAACGTGAAATAGTCACACAAAAGTAATCTATTTGATCATGTTCGTGGACATGTATTGTCACACTTTTAATGACATTTGGTACAACTCATTTCAATAGGAAGTACGTTTCATTTCTGCAGCACTTATGCTGTCCAGAATCATCAACAGGAACACATCTCTATGGAAACCAAGGAAACAAAACTTCATAACAAAGGGCAGCCATAATCGCTGTCTAAGTCTAACTCAATAGGTTTTATATCTTAAACCTACACTAAGTAAGTT